GGTCCATCCCACCCAAAGAGTGCACTCGGGATCCTCTGACTATTCTCTGTTGACTTCTCCCATCAATTAGATGTTTCTGCAGAACTAGTGCTCACTAAAGTTTTTTTTCTTAATAGCACCTTTCTGAATAAACCCTAGAGACTGATGTGCATAAAAAGCCCAGGAGATCAGCAGTTACAGAAATACTCAAACCGCCTGTCTGGCACCAACAGTCATGCCATTGTCAAAATCACTAAGATCACGATTTTAACCCATTCTCATGGATGTGAACATTACCTGAAGCTGCCGGCTCGTATCTGCATGATTTTAGGCATTACATTGCTGCCATACCCAGGTGCTGACACACCTCCTCAACTTGAAAGAAAAAATAAAAAGAATGTGTATTTCTTCACATTGTGAAAAACATTCTACCAGCATTATTGGTTTTGGTCTAGCAAGCCACTTTATCACAGTTTGTCATTCATCATCAGTTTTCTACTAATGTTAACCGCAACTGGTTTGCTAAGTAGCATTAGCTAACAATATGAATAAACATTCACAACGCTACTTAACTAACCAGTTGCATTTGACTCAAACGCTTTGCCACAGTGTTTGCCACTAACTGCCACATGCTATATTCAGCATAATAACACAATAGAACATGCTGTATTTCACAAGTATTGCACTTTATTTGTTCATCTTATTAACAAAGCATTAAAGTAGCCTGATCTCATAGGCTAACTATCGGCCCTTCAGAAGTATTCAGTTACAGACTTCAAGATAAAATATTTACTGAATGGACCAGATTACTGAAATGTTAAGTGGATACCTATTCTATTGTTAACTGACTGCGTTTTAGTCTGGAGCTGGAGCTTCCTAGCTAAGCTAATGCTAGCCAGCTCCTCTCTCCTGTTTAACTTAGCAGAGCTGAAGAGATCCAAACATCCCAGTGCAGGTTTGATTCGACTAACTGGTGCTCTACTGTCACAAGTATAGATGATAAAAACTTCGAACAGTGAGAGCAAAGTCAGTAGCTTGGCGGTGGAGTGACAGAAAGCTGAAATTGAACCTGTACTGTAGTGCTTTAGGCTGTAGCCTGCTAGGCCAAGTTAATGTGAGTGTACGGTGCCTCCAATTGCAGGTTCCAGCGAATCGATGATTAACAACACCCGTTTAGAGGATAAAGACTTTTATCTGAGAGCACAAATTAGACAGGTGTTGATGTGACAATGATAAAAAATAGAATTGTTCTGTGGTGCTTTAGCCGTACCCTGCCAGGCGACGTTAATAGAGCTAGGCACTTGTTGTGAAACCCACCGCAGTACAAGCTGTTTCAGTGACAGGTGCTCAAATACCACCCGTTTACAAGATAAAGAAGATGAAAGCACACCGAGAGTGGAGTTCGAGTGACAGGCGGAATCAAATGTGTTTTGTGGTGGGTGGTGTTTGTGTAGCTATTAGCCTGTTAGCAGTTAGCCACTCGCTTGTGTAGTGTTCACTGGTATTTCCTGGTTCTGATTTAGCAGTACAACAGATGGAAAAAGAAACCGTAACCAGTCTCACGAGACCGGAACAGCACAGAACGGTACAGTACGGTCCTGAGAACCATTTGGCTCAATAGTGGAAAAGAAGCTTTTGTTTAAAAAATACAGCAGTAAAGCTAGCAAAGAAACCAGCTAACATTAGCTTAGCTAGGATGCTACATGTCCAAACATCACAGAAGAGCTTTAATTGCAGCTTTCCGTCCCTCTGACACCGGCTACTTGACTTAATTTCCTCAGATTTGAGTCATATCATCTAAACCTGCGTCAGTAAAGCTTCTGTTAGTCAGAACTGAACCTGTTCTGTGATGCTAACCAGGTACTGTCTCCTGGTTATCAAAGCAGTTTAACAATTAGAAATTGTTGTTAGATTTAAGCTTTGACGTTTATTAAGTGGTGGAATTAAAATTGTGCACTGTTTCCATTTTAACGTGTGAGCGAACCTATTTGATTGTTTTTCGGGTTTGAAATAACACAGCAGGATACTGTGGCAGAATACCGCCAAAAACGAAGAACCAATCAGCGAATAGCTGCGTCATTATGTCATTCCACCTAACACTTAATCATAGATCTGCTGCAAACTACACACAAACACACACATGCACATTCAGGTCACAGTGTTCATGTGCGAGCGCCTTAAAGTCACACTTCAACATAGCAGGTTGAGATTCATTCTAAAAGTACATTACATTGTAAAGCTGAACGATAACTTAAAACTATTTACTTGTCAAAAGATAAATTAATCAAAACAAAATTGGTTTTATAGAGGAGTGTAAAACACAGACATCAGATCTGAATTGTAAGGCATTTAGAATGAAGGATAACTACAGTAAACAGAGATTTCACTATTTAAGCCTTTAATGCCTGAAGCAAAAAGCAGCCTTTTCTGTCCTTAATTTACTCTTCTCCTTTAATAATGTAATTTCTCAATGCTGCTTTTTGATGTAACAACAATGTCTAACAAACCTGAAAATTTAGAGATGGTTAATTTGTAAGATAAGCTGCCTTTCTGAAACTAAAGTAAATGTATTTTATCAGAGTAGGTGAGTGTGGTGCAACATTACACATCTGAGTGCATTCTATCTGTATCTGTACTCAGTTACATTGTTTTATATTTGCATTATTTTGCACAATAATATGCTACTTTGCAATCTTTTGTTTGCAAAAAAATCAAATCAAAAAACATATCAAACCTAAAAATGTATTTACTACAAGCTGCAGAACAATTAAGTGCAATGTTTGTGTGTGTGTGTGTGTGTGTGTGTGTGTGTGTGTTGCTCACTTGTCAAGGGTGGCGTCCTGGCATTGCAGTGTGGTCAGATATATCTGCATGAAAGTCAAGCTGCTGCTCATATCCTTCATTGTAATGTAGTCGGAGTTGCAGAGAGACATTCTGAGCTGCTGCATGATCCAGGAGAAATTCTCATCACTCTTTATGTTCGTTTCGGACCATTTCTTCAGTTTAGACACCTAAATGTAAATGATGTTAAACAAAACACTTCAGTCTTTTCTCCCCAGTTTTGTCATGTCTGATTCCACCCGCTAGTTAGTTCTCCCCTTATCAAACCCTGTTACCGAGATGGGAGAGTGAAGGCTAGCGTGTGCTTTCTTCTGAGACACGTGATACACCACTGCCTCATTTTAAAGTGCTTTGTAATTAAAAAATCTTCTTACTCGTTTACAGGTGTTTTCCGCTCAGTTTTGTGTAGGAGAACTCTACTTGCACTCACCTGACTCTTCATCACCTGCCTTACTGTTTTTTTTCTTTTGCCTGCCACCTCCTTTTCTGTGCTGCATTCCGCTCCTGCAGAGACTCCTCCTCACAGGTTTTAGTCATGCGCTGTTTGACATATTTGATCATATTAAAGCAGAAATTTAAACTTTTCATACTAATGCAGAATTATATAGCTTTTTGATATTGATAAAGAACTTTAAAACATTGTTGTATTAATTGAAGTGGATAAGTGCATAGTAAAAAGACAAGATACATAAAATATGTTTATATGTGCACAAACAAATATAAATAGCTGTGTTCTAATATGTCCTGTCCTGTCTGGATGTGATGTGTTTTAATGTACCCTTTTTAATAGCAGATATTTGCATACGCAAGCCAAACAAATTTCTTTGTCTCCTTCTCCTTCTGTCCTTTCTGAAAGTCATAAAGTTTACAGTACTCATCAAGTCTTGAAGATTATCTAGGCCTTGGGTTTACTGAAACTACCATTAATTAAAGATGTGTTAATGTTAGAAAATGAATCTCAATTTTGAAACATTCCTTCCCCTCCCTCTAAATATATTAATAAAGATGAGGATATGACCGATCTTAACTACCATACAAGTTTAAGAACATAATATCTTTAATACTAAAATCTCAAAGCTGTAAATAACGGCAAAACTCTTTATAACCATGTTGACGTTAGCACCAACATGTCAAGAAGGCAAGTAACGATAGCTGTTTAATCCTCAGTAGCGAGTTTGACTTTAAAATATATCTAATATATGGTTGTAACTATATACACATGTTGGTTTTCTATATAAATATTGTAAAACAATGCATTTATTAACTGTTACGACTCTCTCTCTACATGGCTCTGGTTATGGCGAAATAACAGCACAGTTAGAACGCTTCTCAGCTTGCACGGCCAGAACTAACTATTGTATAATGCACAGTATGTTGTGGGCATCTGTAGAATGTGGAATGCATTTTCATGTAGAATCTAGTATGCATTCTTTTATAGCAGAAAAATATTGCTAAAAATTACTAAACATATATTTAAAATACTGTGGGCTTCTTTGCTTTAAAATTTGCAATGTTTTTGTATGCAGAAGTGTTGTATGTATTTATAATCAGAAGTTGACGAAATACAGTACTTCTGTACTTAGTAAAAGTAGAAATACTCTTAACAAAATAATAACTCTATTTTTACTTGAGTAAAGTGCTTGCTTGTAAAAATGCTCACCTTGGTGCAGTACTTTAATTGAAAACAGCTCATTTTAAAGTTTAACAGTTTTTTAAAGATAGATATTTCATCTGTATCATCTGATACTTAAGGTTAATACCTAACTTAAGTGTGGCTATATGGCATTCTTCCACTCAATGTAGTGTGAAATACTATGGGATTTAGTGTGTCGACTGCCGGTTAGTTGTGGTCGTGTTGTTCGTGCTGGTTGATTCTGATTGGTCAAACGTACCTACAGACAGCTCAAAAGCTCTTTGTTACTAGGATAAATTTTCCCACTCATGCCATAAGACAACGTTGTCGATATTATATAATAAAAATGCAGCTTTTGTGATTTGAAAATTGCAGACTTTCAAACCGCGATTTCGATATAAAAATTAATCGTTCAGACCTGTATCACACTAACTCACACTCCTCCACTGTGCTGTAGTGCCTGCAGAGGTCCGGCAGGGGGAGCCACTGTCTCTCTCCCGAAATCCGCCACTGTTTACGGAAGTCGGTGTGACGTGTCAATGTTCGCATAGGCATTATGGGATCGGAAGCTTCGCTCCTGCCATGGAGAAACTAGAGTACGAAGCTGAGCGTTAAAACGAGGCAGTAAATCAGCGCTCTGCTCCGAGACTGAGAGGATGACAGTGTTATAGAGGCCGTCCTGACGAGTATGGCCGGTGAGGAGGCTTCTCGGCGAGGATAGATGTGCGTGTGTGTGTTTATCCGGGGGGACTGTGCTGTGTGTCGATGGCCGCCTGTGCCGCGGTCACTCACCGCGCTTTCGTTTTTTTCCATTTAGGCCGAACCGTGTTTTAGGACTGCAGCTGCATTCCTCTTCGTTTTGGGATATTTGCTGAAAGTCAGCGACGAGGGGGAGGAGAAAAATGTCGACCACCAGCCCCGAAGCGGTGAAGAAATTGCTGGAGAACATGCAGACTGATCTGCGGTCTCTGTCCATGGAGTGCAAGAAAAAATTTCCTCCGGTGAAAGAGGTAGAGCTGCAGACACACCGTCAGCACGAGGGACAGAGGGGACGTGTTATTTCTGTTAGCCTTTAAAAAGTGCAGCGGACAGACTCCTTTATCATTCGAGTCGTCCTAGTGGCAAGTCAGGTCCGTCTGAACGACGCTGAGCTCGGCTTCTTATTCGCCAGCTTCTCGTTCGAATTTTCCCGTTCCACCTTAAATGGTTACATGTAACTGATGCACCATTTAAGGTGGAACGGGAAATCGAACGTACAGGAATTAAACTTCAGCCTCGTTCTGTTTGACAGGTCGAGAGTAGGCAGGCTGACGGAAAGCTAATTATGAATGCAAGGAGCGGTAGGTTAGTGCTGCCGTGTCGTTTTCAGCCTTTGAGACTCAGTGTGGACACACAGAGGAGGGAACCTTCAGAATCAGCTTAGTCAGTCTATTAGGGCATGATTATGGTCATCCGTACAGGAGTCGTGTTTGTGTTAGTTCTGGTCAGTTCATAGCAGCGTCCGTCTGTGTCATCCTGAAAAGTGGGGTGTCCCACATTTAGCTGCTTGCCTTTGTGTTTTAGCACAGTGACCCAGTGGAGTAGTACCCTGTGTGTGTGGCTGGACTGGTTTCAGCTCTGTTGACTGTTGACACTATTGTCTACAGCATTACATCACACGTGGCGCCTGTCACTGCAGGATCTAGTTCAAGATGGGTTAGGGGTTATAGCTTCTGTGTGTGGCTACACGAAGCTGATTGTTTCGTTTATTAAGTGAGAGATCAGTTGAGGATATTTATTTGCAGGTCCATGTTTCCTTGGCTAATGTGTTATGAAACTGAGCGTCCTTGTTGTATGTGCTATGAATAGTACATAATCAGCATCTGTTATATGGAACAAATCCTGTTTTAATAGCTTCAGCACTGATCGATATGATTTAGTGTACAATTAAAACAAATGCCATCGATGCACTGAGCATACAGACAGTCTAGCACTGATACTGTGATGGTTTAGGCTCATGCTGTTTACATTTTCACTTGTAGACACCGGGTTTTTGGCTTCAGCGCTTATAGCAGTTTTTAGTTTCCTTGTCGACATGGAAGGCCTTCGACATCATTGGGACTTGATCTTCAGATTCATTCAACATTTGTATGACCACTGCATTAGAAAGAAAGAAAGAATATTATAAAAGCCTTATTTTTATTTTCTAACGTAGGATAAATATTTTGAAGCAGGTATAATAACTTAAAAGTATGGCCAAGTAATGATCTGATGTTTTACTGAAAGCAAATATCAGACATTTCGGCCTTACTTGCTCTTCTTGTTTCTATAAAACTAGTTCTCAATCTAACAGTAGAGAATTCATAACCTCTACTTATGGGATAATTGTCCGTTTCCTTAGGGTGTCTGTAGCACAGATTTACCTTTATACGATTGGCACAGTGTTTAAGTATTTAAGTAGTGTTGTTCTAAGCCCTCCAAATTGTTGTCATACCATTCAGCAATGATATTTGTGCTATTTTTGGTGGGCTAGGCCTGGTCTGTGTGGCTTAACACCTAAGTTGAATTGGTTTGCTGTAAACAGTTGTGGCCATTCTGAGCTATAAAACACAGACAAAAATGTTTCTTCTTGGTACTGTGAGCATTTTTTACAGATCAGGCCAGATGTGATTGTTTTGTATTGACTGGCACCATGCTGTCCTTTGTCCCATTTAGAGAAGTAAAGAATAACATTGCAGTGTTACTTAAGCTTTACGCTCAAATAGCCCCCTACACACTTAATCGGTGGGAGAATTATTAGCTCCTTTCATGAGGATCATGAACAGCAGTCTCTCACCAACTGATTTGCCATATTATTTTTAAATAAGCTGTAGTTTTCAGTTTTGCTTGTTTTAATTTTTTTCACCTGAAGAAAAAGGTTTGGTTGCTTGACTCAGCAATGTTTGGCTGGTAACCTAATATAGAAATAGTTCCATAGAAGTTTTTGCTTGTGAAAGTTTCTTGGTTTGACCAATAGTCTGATGAAAGTCTATCCTGTGTTGCAAATATTCAAGCATTTCAGCATTTGAATTTTTTTTTGTCTTAAAGGGGAATTCTACTAATTTTACGTATTTATTTTTTCATACTTTAATAATTAAGATGTGAATACAGTCATCCAGAGTGGTTTGATGTGAAATGGTTCATTGTAGAGAAATAGTGGTGGTGATAAGAACCAGGGGTTGCAATGTTTTCAACACAAATGTTGCCATTTTATGTACTATTCAGAACCACCAGTAAACATACATACATGAGATAAATACTAGATCTTAAGAGGTTTTGGGAAGAGTGAGGTTGAGGAGAGTGAAACACATTCATACTTTGAGGTGAATGTAAAATCACTGTCATTTTCTTCTAATAGGACACTACAGAGTCTCTATATGTTTATAATGCGTTCAAAGTGGGTTGAAGGGAGAGTTCTGAAGAATAACTCCAGAACCTGTGGCTGAAAATTCTGGAGTACTGTGAATCAGTTGGTGCTTGTTGCTAAGTAACTGGCAGTTCAGGAGGTCAGGCGTGGTTGACTCCCGCTGCTTACCGTTGTTGAAGGTCGGATAATATATTGAAGCATACCACTGTATAATAACTTGGGAAGGTCAAGTGATAAACAAGCTACAAGAAGCGTAATCTTGAGCTGTGCCTCCAACTGTTTTAATGCGTCTCTTGTTGTATTGAGGTTAAAGTCTTTATAATGAATAAGGACCTTTTTAGCAAGTCAGCCCCTCAAGTGACATAAGACCTATAAGATCTGTCAGAACTATCCGCTCTTGAGATTTTCATCTTAAGTTTGTCAGTGTGTGATAATGGGTCTGTATTTCTGGTCCTGAATGGTACTGGTTTTAATTTATACAGTGGTTTAGTATGACTAGTATGCAAGTGTAAAGTCACTGTCTGTTGGAAGTTGAAAGAGCTGTGCATATCTCCACTTCACAGTCCTAATATATTTTTTCTGACATTGTCACCTAAAAATGCAGTTTTTGTTATCTTTGCCTTCTTTAATCTGTCACTGTCATTCAAAGTGTGCACAAGAAGTCTGAGTATTTCACAGTTTTACTGAAGATAAAGTGCAGAAAATTTGAATTTGATGTGTAAGTCTAAATGTTTGATCTTAGACTAACACAAACTTTATAACACACTACTTTGGTTTAAAAATAATGAACACCCTCCTCTGTACCTTCTGTGGACAGTTTTGTAAGGCAAAACACATGCAACCTGAGTGAATGTAAAGGTAAATTTAGTTTGATGTTAGCAAATATACGTTTCTAAACTACAGTTCTGATTGAGTAAGTATTTAGACTTTATGTAGTCAGGCTGGAATCATAGATCAATCACAATTATTGAATAATTGCCTGATTGCGGTTATTTGAGCTGATTGCAGTTAGTAGTGGGTGGTATAATAGTTCATTCGGTACAACGGCTGAAATTCGTCGATAGAGCTTACCGATGTGACATTATAACTAAACTCAGATTGGAGAATGAGTTTTGTCATAATGTTATATAGGTAAGCTATAAATATGATAATGTGATGTAAAGACAGTGCAAAGCACACCAGCCTGTTAGCCTGTTTGGCTGAGTGGCTTTAACTGAGTCATGGGTGTTTCAGTCATGTTTCAATCGGTAATGAAAATACAGCAGACTCTCAGTCACTTCCCACTGTCTAGTCTGTTGCATCCGAAATAATTGAGGCAGAGGCATAGAGGAATGGCTGGTTGTCTGGGACTAGCCTCTCCCTAACACTGACACCATGCACGAAACAAGCCGCAGACCAGCTGGTACTGAACTGTGAATGATTGTAATATTTTTTAAAAATTCCAGCAGTGTCTGACAGTCAGAGACACGAGTGTATGGGATGCACACATGAGACAAATGTCTTGAGAAATTTGACAAAGCTGAAGCTGGCTTCCTATTTGTATGTAACTGGCGCTCCATTTAAGGTGGAAAGGAACATTCAAACAAAACACTGCTGAATAAGAAGCCAACTTCTTCAAACATAAAAAACCTGCTGGATCTACAGGGCTAGTGTTAGAAATGACCTGACATAGGTTTATCTGTGTATTTGTTCAGTTTTGTTTTACTGTTTTGAACTGTAAAAATATTTTATATTATTTATTTTATAATATTTTACATTTTACTTTAATTGTTACAAATGTTTGTGATTAAAAAGTGAAGGGACATCTCAGAAAAATAATGCAGTATTAACCTGCAAAAATCTTAAATGATTTAATTTGAAAATGTGTGTGATATATACCGATACCACCAGAAATGTTAATTATACTGTAATAGAAATTTTTGACCATACTGATCACCCTACAATTATTTGAACTGATCACAATAATTTTAGCTTTCAATCTTATATGTTTGTCACAAAAAAACAGAATGTTTTTGGGCTGCGTTTATCAGTTGAGCAAATAAAAGAAAGCAGAAAATGCATTCATTGAGACACATCATTTGTCTTACAAAAACAACAGAAGTTCTATTCTCTGACTTGGTGATATAACGTGTAGAGGGAAGCAGTGTGTATGTTTATTTATTTGAACTTGATCTGTTTCTGTTGTGAGTTGGGAGCTACTAATATTGGCAACTAGGAAGCAAGATAGCTAATCAGCCAACTTCACCACTTTAGGCTTTATGTAATAGTTGCATGAACAAAAATAATTGATAAAATTGTTAATCAGAATAACTTATGTGGAAATGAATTGGCAGCTAAAATTTCTCAGTGATAGCAGGCCTAGCTGAATAAAATCCTCAGCAAGGCCACTTTGTCATTTTGTGTTAACTCCAGTTATCACTGCATTCTACAGGATTATCAGTCATCAGGAATTAGCTTTGAAAGCAGGTCATTAAAACTAAGTGCAAAGAACAGCAGAGTTAAGCATAAATGTCCAAAATTGCGGACAGAAATGTGGACATTATACCAAAGAGTTATCTTAACCTTTGTAATCAGCAATCTGTACACTCTCCATACAGGAACGTTAAAACAGCATACAGTATTTTTTTCAATTTTAACACATCTGTGCTTCCATTTAAGAACAGCACGTGTTGTTTTACTTTACTCAGAGATGTGCTCTGATTGATCAGTCTGTCGGAGATAGGCTTCTCGTGAGTTTTCGTGACCCCCTTCACAAACTGCAAAGAGTTTGGTTGCATTTACCTGTGAACCTCAACCCTGTAAGTTCGCTTAGGGTCTCGTTAGACATTGCAGGAACATGATTCCTGACCACATTGTATCTGGAAGAAGTCAGGCCAAATTTAATTTACACTTTGTGCAAAAATGCCTCCCTAGTGTGAAAGACACTGCTAGATACATTGCTTGATTGAGTTTTGTTTATCTTTCTTCCAGTTATTGTATAAGTATGATTGTCTGTGTTTGATCAAGCTTTCTTAGAGCAAGTCCTGTTTGCTTTATATATAAAGGTAATCTGTTATCCTTATCTTTCAAGCTCAGTCCAGTGTGCTTACTTATTTTCATCTATCTGACCATGGTAATGAGACATTTGCAAATGGCCACCATCCATGCAGCAATTCTGAGAAACTTCAGAGCTCCCAGGAATCAAGGACCATATATCTGTGGCTAATGTTACTGGAGTTTTCCACATGCGAATCTAAATGTCAGTTATGTCTGTATAACGGGATTTATATGTATACCTGCCCTGAGATTTTATCTCCACTTTTGAAATATGATGAATTCCAGGTGTTAATTTTATTTATGTATTCTCATTATTCTACAGCTTTCTCCATCACTTTAGAATCTTCTACAGCTCTGTTAATCATATGTTAGCAGGACTAACATATTGAAATAATTGTATACACTTGTCTGCAACAATATTGGTTTTATGTTATTGAAATAGTTGATTCCAAACTTTGGAACAGTAGTGTGGTTGGATATGGGGTTTAATACTGTAAAAGATGTATGTGGTGTCTTATTGCTGTTAGCAGGCAAAGAAGGCAGTATAGACTATTCTGCTCATTTGCAGGTATTAATGCAATGTCACTGCAGTAATATGATTTCTGTGGGAGTAAACAAGGCAGTATAGACTGTTCTACAGATAAGTAGGTAGTAATGCAATATCCTATAGATAAAGACAATAAGCAAGAATAGTCTATACCGCCTTATCCAATACACAAGGCACTGTAGACTTCTCATCTCATCTGTAGGTAGTGTTGCAATATCCTCACTGCACTACTATGATTTCTGTGGGTGTTGAGTGAGAGGCATACAATCATTGTCAAGAAAATGGCCAAATTCCAAAGGGATCTCTTGTTGTCTCTGCAGGCAGCAGAGTCTGGTATTGTCAAGATTAAGACAATTGCTGCAAGAAACACAGACATCCTTGCAGGTAAGAATTTTCTTGAATAGTGGCTACAGTAGAATGTAGAATGTGCCTACACCTACGGCTTAATTAATCTCCTGCAAACATCCAGCATTATTATGTACATTATTATGTACATTATTATGTACAGTTGTCTTTGTTTCACCCCAAGTTGATGTGGAATGTTACTAAGTGTCTGTGCTCTGTTGTTTCTCAGCTCTGAAGGAGAATAGCTCAGAGGTGGTGCAGCCATTCCTTATGGGCTGTGGTACCAAGGAGCCCAAAATCACTCAGCTGTGTCTGGCTGCCATTCAGAGACTGATGTCCCACGAGGTGGTGTCAGAGGTACTGTCTCACACATACTAAAACCCTCCAGAATTCATATGCTCCTCTAAATTCATGGGTGTAGTTTAGGCATGTGCATAAGTCCTTGAGTACTCTAACCGTTTGAGATGACTGTCTTTGAATATTGAAATCACTATTTGGTATTCTTTAAGTTTCATCATGGGAAGACAGGGAAAAATACAGGCCAACAGTTCAGTGAAATGGCAATTTTATGTTTTAACAGAGCTGTAAAATGTGGAAGTTTTTATTGTATTTGTGAGTAAATGTTATTTTTATACTTTGCTACTATGGAACGCAAGTGCAAGCATGGTGCCAAGGATATGGTGTTAAGGACATGACTGAGAAGGCAGAGATAATTAGGCAAGGCTGTAGGTTTAGCTCATTTGAGGCAGTTTCTGCCGTGTTACTTATTCAACACAACCTATTTTATAATTGTAAAGGACATTTTGAAATGCATTCCTGAACTCTTATGGATGCTTGAAGATCGAAATTAGTTGGAATTCACATCTACAGTAAAGTTCCTTTAAACTGGAAAGTATTCCCATATTCCCATACCATTAATTCTCTTTTAAGATATGCCTGCTCAGATCATCTCACTATTACTTTATTGCTTTACATACAAATGTTGTACTAAATGCTAGCTGACTACTTAAGATAGTTAATCTATAATAAAACCAAGAATGGGCTTAGAGTCATGTTTTCATTGTCAGAGAGGTTTCAGCAGATTGAAGCTTAAAATACCACTAATACCATAATGCTGTGCAACTGTAAGCCTCCCAGAAAGACTCCTAGGTAACACCCTTGCGCATAAAAGAACTAGTGACACATACAGTGGCTTTGGGTGGAGAACTGGAAGCCAATAGCTTTTGATGCCATGTTTAATTCTAAGTTACATCACTAGGAGTCAGTTTGACATTTTTGGTTCAAAAGACCAAAATATGTTCAAAGTTGCTGCTTTTAGTGAGTAGCAGACAGTCTTGTGGAACAGTTAATTAGTCAAGTGCACATGTGAATTTTTCTGATTTATTGTCAATGAGGGAAAAGATGTGTAAGCATTTTAATTGCATCCCAGAGCTTTCAGTTCATTGAAGCTTTGCTTTAAAGGTGCTTTTTTTCGCCTAAATAATCTTTGAAAACTGTGCCACGTTTTGGCTGTTATTTCAAGCTGGGTGAATCAGTGAAGACGTCTGTGATTCCTGAGTCTGTTTCATGTTGCTTGGGATGCTGGAGTGATTCACCCTAGACCCTGCAAACTGCATTCCTATACCCTTTTGCCAGAAGGAGAAACAGACCTAACTTGAATTTAAGTTTATTATTTGGCAGGGCATTTATATTTCAGAGGTCTACCATTCTGACTTTGAAACAATGCTGTGATATCTTGGTTTGATTACTAACATGCTGTTTCAGTGCAGATTTTCTCTGCTGGGGTAGAGAAGTGAAATTATCACTGATTAAGATTCTGAGCTTTCTCATTTATAAAAAAGGTTAGAACGATGATATCAGTGAGGTTACTTACTCTTTGCCACTTTATATATTTGTCTGGCCAACTGATCAGATATTAGATGGTTGTCACATCTAGGCTTGTGCCAGTGGTTAACCCAGCTACCATGGTAACCCTAGTGATGGTGAAAACTCATTTACCATGTATTAGAAAAATGTCGTTCAGTTATTGATTTATTTCATGCAAATCATAGCATGAGACTAGTATTCCCACACACGGACATAATGTAACTTTTATGTTCTTTTGTTTAAGAAATATTAAGCTTCAGCTCACATTCTGTCACTTTCTTAGCTCTTGAGCCTACTTCAGTGTTAGGAACCATCTTAAAATTCCTGGAAGAAAAGGTTGGGATTTTTTGATTAGTAGTAGCAGGATCTCTTTAAGTACATCAGGTTATGCTTATAAAGTTTGGGACTTTGTATAAAATGTAAATGATTGCAAATTAAAAACATAATGCAATTATTTGCACATCTCATAGACCTATATTTCATTCACAATAGAGCATATAACACAGATCAGATGTTGAAAGTGAGACATTTTACCATTTCATGAAAAATATTAACTCATTTAGAACTTGATGGCAGCAGTGCATCTCAAAAAAGTTGGGACAGGGGCAACAAAAAGCTGGAGGAGCAATTTGCAACCAACTCACATAACTGGGCATAAAAAGAGCATTTTAGAGAGGCAGAGTCTCTCAGAAGCAAAGATGGGCAGAGGTTTACCAATCTGTGAAATACTGCATCTAAAAATTGCTGAACTGTCTGCCTGCAGTCCAGACCTTTCACCAATAGAAAACATTTGGTGCATCATGAAATGAAAAATCCGGCAAAGAAGACCCAGGACTGTTGAGCAGCTAGAACTCTACATCAGACAAGAATGGGCCAACATTCCTCTCCCAAAACTCCAGCAATTGGTCTCCTCACTTCCCAGACGTTTACAGACTGTTGTTAGAAAAAGAGGGGATGCTACACAATGGCAGACATGGCCCTGTCCCAACTTTTTTGAGATGCATTGCTGCCATCAAAATCTAAATGTTTTTCATGAAATGGTAAAATGTCTCACTTTCAACATCTGATATGTGTTCTATGTTCTGTTGTGAATAAAATATGGGTCTATGAGATGTGCAAATCATTGCATTATGTTTTTAATTTGCAATCATTTACATTTTACTCAGCATCCCAACCTTTTTGGAATTGGGGTTATACTTACAGAGATACTACTACTACTACGACTACTACGACTACTACTACTACTACTACTACTACTACGACTACTGCTAATAGTATTACTACTCTATCATACTAATTCTTTTTCATTCAGTAATTTTAAGACCACCCCTAACTCTGAAGTGGATGCAGGAGGAAAGGAACGGTGTGAGTTGAAGCTTAAACTTAGTCAAATAAAAGGTAAAGCAAAGAAGACAAACACAAACCAGTTTTAATGGTTTATTGAGATTATTTTCTGCATTGTTATCTGATTAGAGAATTCTCTTACAGGTACAGGCTAATCACATCTTTTGTCTGACCACCTAATTGAATTTTCTGCAGCGCAACAATATAGTATAAACCATTACCAGAAATGTGCATTCTTTCACAGTGCTTGGAATACATTCATAAATGTCCAGGAAATGGCATGTGACACAGATAATTGTCTTGAATCCAGAGTGAAATAGTGTAAAATGTGTGCATTTTCAGGCAGCAGCGGGAAACATCATTAATATGTTGTGGCAGCTCATGGAGAATGGCCTAGAGGAGCTGAAGCTACTACAGACTGTTCTTGTACTGCTTACCACCAACACAGTAGTGCATGATGAAGTCCTATCAAAGGTACAATACACACACACATAGACCATCAAATATAGTAAATCAGTGTGGTTCTATATTTAATAAAAATATTGCAATTTAAGATCTTTAATGGACTACAGCTGTTTTGTGTCACATATCCAGAAATGAGGTCACAGTGTGAAAAACAAAATGTCATGTAGTGTTGACTTTATTTTGTATGTTATTTGATTGTTCATAGTTTACAACAGTTTTGTGGTTCACATCACCTTATTTCTAACTTTGTTTTTGAAGACAGTGTGTAAAGATTTCTCCACATTTTTTGACCAGAAAGGTTATAAAGACAATAAATCACTGCTTATATCATTTTTGAGGTACAAATGGAAACACAATTAAGACATAAGTGTTTTCATAACTATGTAGTCTATATTTTGTATTCCGGTTTACTCTCTTAGAGGTGGAGATGGTGTGAATACCTAATAACCTACCTTTATTTATTAAGATGTCGGCTGATGCAACTTCATGAAATCAGACTTGAGTTACAGACTTTGATTGCTTGCGGCTAGACTGTTAAACCAGACAAATTGAATTCACCACAATGTGTTCAAAACAGAGTAAAACTGGAGAAATGAGATATTGTTTCTCCTCAATACTGCTAGTTAGTCTTTTCCCGTTGGCAAGCTTGCTTCCCAGCTCAGTGGAGTCTAATTAGATTTCTAAATGGGTTTGATTGGTTTCATCTCTTTCTGAGGACCACATCAAGGTCATTCTTTTTCATAAAAAGAAGTTTACTAGTAGTGCACTCATACCCTGGAGGCATATTCTGTTTCATGATAAATCTTCAGTGAATCATGGCAAATTCCAGCTTTCTGATTAGAGTTTTCATGCATCTGCTGCATGAAATAGAAATTATTTCTGATTCACACAGCTAATCACAACCGAGTTGCGAGCAGTTTTTCAGGTAACACTCCAGGCAGTCAAAATAATCAACCAATTAAAATTGTGTTCTGCCTGGATTGTGACATGACCTAGAGCTTTCACGTTCAGTGTGTCTTGTTCTTTTACAGGCCATTGTGTTATGCTTTCGTCTCCACTTCACTAAAGACAACATCACCAACAACACAGCGGCAGCTACCGTCAGGCAGGTCGTCACTGTGGTGTTTGAGAGGATGGTTGCTGAGGATGAGAAATTCAAAGGTATATGATAAATGTACAGGTTATGTGGTCAGTTAGGTCCTTTAAGCAGTTTAATGCAATTATTTTGTTTAGTTGTGTTGGGTGAATCGGCTACAACCTTGAATCCCTTTGGATAGATAAAGGTTTAAAGCTGCCTCTGTTGAAGTTGCCTCTTGTCAGAACTGTATGCTTTGATAGTTCCTGTCTCACTTGTACACTTATGTACAAAAGTATCCGGACACCTCTTCTAGCTAATGAATTTGGCTACCTTACGATGCACCCATTGCTGACACATGTTTTATTGCTCATATACAGCTCATATGGAGTAGCTGCATATGAGCTGAAGCTCACCATGCCCAGTCTGGTCTGTGTAGTAGTAGAACTGTGTTTTCTTGCAGTGATTTGTGATGCAGAACTAATCATCCAACATGAGTATCTGACCTCAAATAAAGCTGTAATAGCTGAAAGCAATCAAATCCTTACAGCAGTGTTCCAACATCTAGTGTAAAGTCTTCCCAGAAGAGTAGAGGCTGTTACTGCAGCAAAGGGGGGACAGACTCTCCAATGATGCTGTTGATTTTGGGAGAAACATTGGATGAGTAGGTGTCTACAAACATTTGGGCGTACACTTAAAGTCCCGTTGGATAAAAGCATCTTCCAGTTGAATAAATGCTGTGTAAATTGATCACTCACCCTAACCTCATGTAAGGAATGTGTAATGCTGTAGGTTTCTGCATGAGCATTCAGACAGCACTATGAAATCAGTTTTATAACCAACCAAGTGAAGCCTGGCAGCAACATCAGTGAGCAAACTCATTGTTCTAAGAGATGAGAAAGTGTGAATTTTGTGTCCCATTCTCATTTTTATCAGTTGACATGTGACGTTTATCTCCCACATCACCTGCTTTATTATTTACCTCTCTTGGCCAATTGCCTTATGCATGTCTTCTGTTTTTCTCATCAGGCATGGCAGAACAGCCTCCTGCTGTCCAAGGCAATAGTAACCGCAGGTCTGTGAGCACCCTCAGACCCAGTGCTAAAGATGCCTACATGCTTTTCCAGGTACAGTTGTGCTCACAACAGCTACCAGAAGTTTCTGTATGCATTTAACAGGGTATCTCTGAATTTTTATAGATAATTGGTGGGTTTGCTTAGACAGAGGTCACATACTTGTAATTCTAGGCAGATCTGCCTGTTGAATAGTATAATGTTTTTCCTTACTGTTACCTCAAACTAAGGCTTTCACTAGAAAAGCTGTGCGAGCAGATCTTGCTTTAGTGTTTGAAGTTTGTATGGCTGTGGATTGTCCTACTGAATTGGGTTTACCTGTTAGTCATTGGATTAGTTTTCATCCTTGTCATGTAGGACCTGTGTCAGTTGGTGAACGCCGATGCCCCCTACTGGTTGGTGGGTATGACTGAAATGACCCGGACATTTGGACTGGAACTGCTGGAATCTGTTTTAAATGACTTCCCAGGAGTCTTTCTGCAGGTGAGTGCACAGTTACTACTTCAACTGCCTTATTTATGTTAGACCTTACATTTTGGCACATGCATTTGAGATGACGTTACCCCTCTGTTTATTATGGGTTCTCCACAATAAGAATTTTTTTTCCATGATCTCTGACTGCTCTTTAACCTTTATGACCCTCAGCATCAGGAGTTCAGTTTTCTGCTGAAGGAGCGCGTATGTCCTCTGGTGATCAAGCTCTTCTCTCCCAACATCAAGTTTCGGCAGGGCAGCAGCAGCAGCGCTGCATCTCCTGCACCTGTTGAGAAGCCCTATTTCCCTATCTGCATGCGCCTGCTCCGCGTCGTCTCAGTGCTCATCAAGCACTTCTACAGCCTACTGGTGAGGCAGCGATCCAAACTGATTCATTAAACCTCCCTAAGGTTTCGCTAACCACAAAGCCAAGTGAGACAACAACGGGGTAGTTCACAGTACAGGATTTCTCAGTTACCTGCACAGCCTAAGCAAGATGTCAAGCCTGTCCAATAGAAGAAGCGCTAATGGCTATTTGACAGCCCTCACATTTGGCTTAGGATATCCAGCTAACTGAGAAATCGCACATTTACATTTATACATTCGCTTTTATCCAGAGCTTTTGGTAGCTGTTTTTAAATGTGGCACTTCTGGTGCGTTGTGTCTGTGTCAAAATATCATGATATGTATCATGTATCATGAAAATGTCTAAGTATCATGATATGATGTTTTGCCGTATCACCCGCCGCTATTGTTAAGCTCCTTTCGTATTCAAAGCTCAGGATGTTGTCAGGATAATTTTACTAGTAATGTTCAAGCTTTGCATCATTCACACACGCAGCCCTTAAACAGTGCTTTTACTAGGATGATCGTGTTCATACATGCCATGAAAATCCCGGTAAATAGGAGGTGAAGTTCTCAGCATGAATAGCCAAGTTCAAAAGTATACTCATGTGATGAGACATTTTTTTTCTCATTAAAACGAAAAACTTGATTGTTCTGCTTTGTTGGCCGTGTTGCGTTGTTTTTACACGGAAGAAGCCTTGCATGTGCACAGGGTAGATTTTTGCAGCATCTGTCTAAAATCATGTATAAAATACACTTGATGTCACTCACAAGACTGAACTGAAAAATGTAAATAAAAAAAGCATCCCAGAAATGTTCAGCTTTCTGTTTGTTGGTAACGTATCAGCTTTTATTCATATGTGGGCTCTCCTGGAAATTTCTGGTGTTGTGCTACGTCATGTCTGGTAAAATTGCGGGTTAACTTCTCCAGGATTTTGTCTCCAGCTTGTGTTCACACTCAACTCTTCCTTTTTAACTGCCATTAAATTCCCAGCTAGGTGTGCAGGTGTGAAAGGTTATTTACAGATTCAAATATAGTGTTAGAAGTGTCGTCACAGTCCCGTCATTGAAATAGCATAGAGTGCTTGCTTGGGTGGGGAATTGAACCCCAATCTGCTGCATAGAGGGAAGCAGTGTTAGCCACTACTTTATAGCTACCACCTTATGAAATAGCCCTCAGTATTGATGGACTGGAAAAGATTTAATTGTTTGCCTTACAATTTACTACACTGAATTTCCTCAGTTGAGTTGAAGCTTTTCTTGCCTTTCTGTTTCACTGACCCTCTCTGTGTTTTTGTGTGCATATTGCATAGGTGACAGAGTGTGAGATTTTCCTGTCTCTGCTGGTTAAGTTTCTGGATGGAGAGAAGCCTCAGTGGCTAAGAGCTGTGGCTGTGGAGTCGGTACACCGGCTGTGTGTTCAGCCACATTTGCTACGGTGAGAACACACAGGCACTGCGCGTTAAAATTCTTTAAGCTCGGCTATGACTTCGAGTCTGTGTCAGTATTTGTCATCATGTGTGCTCTGTACACTGTGTGTAGATCTTTTTGCCAGTCATATGACATGAAGCAGCACTCCACCAAAGTGTTCAGAGACATCGTGAATGCTCTCGGCTCCTTCATCCAGTCTCTGTTCATTGTACCCAGTGTGGGAAATGCCTCCTCTACCAACACACCCACAGGTCAGATGTAGATCAATACATATTGGAAAACCCAACCACATCCTTTAGCGATGCATAATACATGATTGCTTTTCTTGATTTTCTTTCCTTGCTCACTTTCAGGTGGTTCAGCATCTAGTGCTCAGGCATCAGCTCAGGGCGGAGTAGGAGCAGCAGGGGGCAGTGGGGGATTGACCACTCAGGCTGCCTTTGAGTACCGTGGCACCTGGATCCCTCTAATGACCGTCAGCGTGCAGGGCAGTGCCAAGGCCACCTAGTTAGTACCTCTCTCCCTCCAGCACCCACTGTGCCTTTAAATATGCGTGCACATGTATGCTTATAAACGATGTTTAAAAATTAAAAAGTCTGGGTTAAATTTTAAAATGACCTTCTCTTGTTATTTATCTAGCACAATACTTCTGGATTAGTATGTAATTTTGTGTACCCTTTACAAATGAACCTGCTCTAAATACCCTTTTCTGACCCCTTCCCTGCCCAAGTCTGGAGATGCTGGATAAGGTGGAGCCACCCTCCATCCCTGAGGGCTATGCTATGTCTGTGGCCTTTAGTGCCCTGCTGGACCTGGTCCGGGGCATCACCTCTATGATTGAGAGAGAGCTGGCTAAAGAGGAGGAGGAGGCTGCAGCCAGGAACAGCTCAGAGCCTGCTGCCCCAGCGCAGAGTGAGGACAGTTCACAGGAACCACGTGAGTATTTTTCCACAATGTGAATATGAATCTTAGCGCTGTTTTGTTGTTTTTTATTAAATTACATTTACATAAATTGTCACTTACCCGAAATGTAGTCAATTAGCCACGACACGACTGAAGTTTGCTTCTTTAGTTTTGTGCAAGTAAAGAGGCTAATGTGGCAGCAACAATTCATATAAGCTTATAGTCTGCCACCTGGCATTGTACAATTCCTCAGTCATTAAACACTTCCTTCAAACCATGCCAAATTGTTAATTAATCTCTAATTAGACTTGCAGATGTTGCTTCTAACACTGTTATCTAGAAAAATGGACAAAGGCACATCACATAGCTAAAAACAGGAGCAGCTGCTGTCTCAAATCCATACTTATGTCTTATTTTTTTCTGTGTGCTTCCATTACCCATTACCTACATAAGCTTTGTAGCTCCAGTGCAAAACTAAAGAAACAACTTTCAGACACAAATATGCTTTGGGCGGTGGACCACATTTGGAGTAAGGGGGAAATATGTCATTTTTAGATTTTTTGCCAAACTATTACTGTAATTTTAGGACTTAGGTAGATTATAATACTGTATAGACTCTGTGTGGTGTTATATCTATTTGATGAATGCTTCCGACTTCTAGGTTGGATTTCATAGTACTTGCTGTGTCAGCATTGTTGTTCCTTTGTTACAGAACCTCATGAGGTATGGGAGGAGATGGTGAGTGCATGCTGGTGTGGTCTGCTGGCAGCCCTGTCTCTCCTACTGGACGCTAGGTAAGGGGAGCCGCCTGCAAAAGCACATACAGACAAGTCAGAGTGTGCACACAAACAGGCAAAACATATACACATGAAATCCAGTCTAAAAAATCTTGTATTACCTTCTTTATAAGCTTTCATTTTGTGTGTGTTCGAAGTACGGATGAGACTGCTACAGAGAACATCCTGAAGGCTGAGTTGACGATGGCATCTCTGTGTGGTCGCCTTGGTTTGGTAACTCCGCGAGATGCGTTCATCACGGCCATCTGCAAAGCCTCACTGCCTCCGCACTACGCTCTCACAGTCCTCAGCAGTAACGCGGCCAACCTCTCCAACAAAAGTCAGTGCCTGTGTGTGAGGGTCAGTCTGTCTATGCTTGTGTGTGGGTGTTTGTCTTTGTTAGTGTGCCGTGTTATAATGTGCTTTATTTGAGAAGTGTGCATCATTATGAGTTTAGTGGCATTGTGCTCAGAGTGTGTGTTGCTTAAGGCTTTGTCTGTCACTTTTTCTTGGAAAACAATTTTAAGGCCAGTAAACCACAAATAAAAATGTACCCACCTGCACAAACCACCTGTATCTTTTAACCATAAAAATACTTTAAGACTTAATTTAACAAAAAAAAGTTTGTATAGAAAGTTACAGTTCCCCTCGAGAGCCTTTTCTGTAACAAAAATCCACAAGGCTACAATCACAAAGGATAATTATTGCTTGTTTTCAATATTGTTATTGAAGTATTGAAAGTAATAAATGCATTCTGACTAAAGAAAAGAAAAAAAATGTTGGTTTCTCTGTAATACTAATCCAGGCAGATTTAGTCCCAGTTTTTAAATTTTATTAATGTTTATATACCAGCATTAGCAGATACGTACAACAGGTATTGTATATTAGGATTGGCCTTTATCTAAAAAAAAATTGGCATTTATCTAATAGGTAAATTGTAAGCAATTTTTTATCGAGTAATCAGGTTTAATCGAGGAGCAGTGACAGCTCATAGCACAGCATATGATGTAAACGCACTTTGGTTGTATGCATGTTAATGTTTCTGTGGTGTGTTTGTATTGCAGCATACTCTATCCAAGGCCAGAATGTGCAAATAATCAGTCCGTCCAGTGAGTCTCATCAGCAGGTGGTGGCAGTGGGGCAGCCCCTCACATCACAACCGCAGGGCACTGTAGTGGTAAGACACACACAGTCAGATTTTTTTATCTAAACGTTTTAGATCAATCTCTGAAGTCGGTCATCCAGTTTTACAGATAAGAAACTATTAAAGTCTCACAGAAACGCACTTTGGGGGCTTGTATTTCACATTTCTTATCTGTGAAACAGGATGACTTATTTTATAGATTTTCTCTCCCCCGTTATGTACCAGTTTCATCTCTCTCTCTCCTCTCTGTCTTTCAGCTCACAGCCAAAAACATCCAGTGTATGCGGACTCTGTTGAACCTGGCTCATTGCCACGGGGCTGTATTGGGAACCTCCTGGCAGCTTGTGCTTGCTACCCTGCAGGTATTAACACAGTTCTCCCTACATCCCTCTGTCTGCTATCCACTTCTCTGTTGGTTTTGTTTTATTTGCCTAGTCAATGTCTAGTCCTGGAGCAAATTTCACTGCACATGCTGATTCTGTAGAAGTAGGCTTCATAGCTTTAAAATAAGTCTGAAGAATATGGCTGAATATGAAATTCTTGTCCAGTATTTCCTAATCCTTAATTACCAAAATAGACTTTCACAAATTTTCTGTATTTTCATGATTTGTTGGGAGTACTGTAACAAAATACTGTTTATTTCTCTAATAAAGGTTGTATTAATCATAATATAGCATTAATATGTCTTGTAAATATCTTTAAACGTTTTAGAATAAACTCAATTGTAGTTCAGTTGTAACAGCACATTGTTGTAAATTGAAGAGATGAGAAATATCGGCTCTGCACGTTGTATTGGCCGATATCCTTAGTTCAGGTATCAGAATTGATGAGTCCCTTGTGGAAATAGTTTTTAAAATGTTATGATATTTTTGAGTTATATACTGTATTTACTTACCTTAGTTTTCATTGGCTCTTGGTGGGATCTGTTCATGCTGAGCAAACAAAAAAATTGAGAGGCGAAAAAACACATTTTATTTCCCAACCTATCAATCTGCCCCAGTCTGCCCCAAAATCTGCAGACTGGAGCCAACCAGCACAGACTCGGCACAACAGATTGTATGGATAAAATTGGGGTACGGATCTTCAGTTATTACCCTCACTTGCGTGTCATTTTTCAGAAAACATTCATTTTTTAAACAGAAACTATGCAGCACTGGCACTGAGATTCATGTGTGGTTTGGTGCTTCAGGGCTGTGAGGCATGCTGGCAATGATTAATTATCATTCAGAGATGCTGTGATAAATGAGTGAGCATGTTTATTGAGTACAAATACTATGAAATTCTCCCTGTTCTTTTTCTTGTCCTTCTCCCTCTCCCTCTTAGCACCTGGTATGGATTCTGGGTCTAAAACCAGGAGTTGGAGGAGCGTTGAAGCCTGGTAGAGCGGTTGAGGGTCCGAGTACTGTAAGTTTCTTTTGAATCAGCTTAACTGAAACCGCCTCTTTATGTATGGATAAGCCTGTAGCTGCTAATTTTTTTCCCAGGTTCTTACAACTGCTGTAATGACGGACCTGCCTGTCATCTCCAGCATTCTCTCCAGACTCTTTGAAAGCTCACAGTAAGTCCTGGACTGTGCCCGTTCATCCTTTGAAGCGCAGTATATGTGATGTAGGATCATTCCTGTATTAAGTGTTGGTCTGTGATTGCAGGTACCTGGATGATGTCTCCCTCCATCACTTGATTAATGCCTTGTGTTCCCTGTCCATGGAAGCTATGGAGATGGCTTATGGAAATAACAAGGTTGATTTTGATCTTTCTCTAAATACGCCTTAGCAATTCATTGACATGGCTTCAAACACATTGTTATATAATCATTGTAGTGATATTGGCCTTTACAATATTGGTATAGTATAAAGCAATGTGCAAATTAATCAGATTGCAGGGGTTTTTTTTTTTACTTTCTGTCATTCTCAAATGTGCCCGATGACTTTTTGTGGGTGTTTTCATGAATCATTGATTTGATCCAACTAACAAAATCATTTTGGTCAAAATAATGCAGACTGAATTATAGTTGTGTATAACATTTACATTGTAATATATTGTACTTGTATTACACTCTGTAGCAGAGTAACTGTGCCCTTCATCATCAGGTTTGCAGTTAAGGATTGCTTCTTGTGCTGCCTCGCTTCAGTTTAAAATTGGAGAAGGTTATAAAGCTTGAGAGCACCTTAAGCTGCTGATAAACATTTTGCTTTGAGTTGTCAGCAGCCAAAAAGACTCTGAGAAAATAAGAAGTTAGCAGCCATGTCAAAGGCCAGCAAATATGTTTTCATTAGCAAAGCACTAGCTTGTTACGTGATGTGATATGTTATTTTGTACAACATTCAGTACAGTTGTTTTTCCCAATATTTCAATTTCAGCAAAAACTGTAATTGTGCATTGTAATTTGACCAGGGGTGCCCAAACATCTGCATACAGCTGTATATTACCAGAACACTTGTCTTGCAGACTGAATCATGACACCATGACCGACACCAAAATGTCTTAGCTGAGACTCTAGTATAATCGCAGTATGGTATTTTGTTCTATGTCTGTAATCTGAAGAATATGGCTGAATATGAAATTCTTGTCCAGTATTTCCTAATCCTTAATTACCAAAATACACTTTTACAAATTTTCTGTATTTTCATGATTTGTTGAGAGTACATGTAACAAAATACTTTTTTATTTCTCTAATAAAGGTCGTCGTAATCATAGCATTAATGTCTTGTATATATGTTTTCATAAATCATTCATTTGATCCAACTAACAAATAATTTTGGTCAAAATAATGTAGAATGAATTATAATTGTGTATCACATTTACATTGTAATATATTGTACTTGTATCACACTGTGTAGCAGAGTAACTGCGCCCTTCATCATCATATTTGCAGTTCAGGTTTGCTTCTTGTGCTGCGTCACTTCAGTTTAAAATTGGAGAAGGTTATAAAGCTTGAGAGCATCTTAAGCTACTGATAAACATTTTACTTTGAGTTGGCAGTGTGGTATTTTGTTTTATATTGTACAGCCCAGCTTTGTAATGATGTGATGTGTTTTAGTCAGGATAAAGGTATTTTTTTTCAAAACTCGGCAACGGCATATCTGGCATTTCTTAATGATAATTTTCCTCTCTTGGACAGGAACCATCTCTGTTTGCAGTTGCTAAGCTGTTGGAAACAGGCCTGGTGAATATGGACCGCATAGAGATCCTGTGGAGACCCCTGACTGCACATCTACTGGAGGTAAGGCCGCTAACCACAAACCTAGCATTAGAGTTCTTCAGCAATTCACCTCTGAATGTGAAGGAAATGATCAGCTTTTATGGAAGACTGAGGAGTTTAGAGATGTTGGTGTGTAGGCCTGTCATCATTAACTTGCTCTTTCTGCCTGTAGCCATGTGTGTCTGTCACTAACCCAGAACCCCTTCTGTAGTCACTTGTGTATGCTCTAAGACGGAATGCTTGTCTTCATGTTATCTTTTTCATCTCTCTCACTGTCTCTCTGTCTCCTTCTCTCTATCTCTGTCTATCTCTGTCTATCTCTGTCTGCTCTCTTTCTTATTGCATCATGTCTGTCTTGCAGAAGGTAAGTTCCTAAACCCCGTTCTTTCTCTCAAGCTTCTCTTTTAATGGAAAAAAAAAATCCTCAAAAAAATTTCTCAAGCTTTTCACTTTAAGCCTGCTTGATTACCACAGGATTTTTCTGTCAGTTTGATTTCATCCAAAATTGTTTTTTTTTTCCGCTTTTTTTCTTTCCCCAAGAATATGACTGTCAAAGCTAATCAAATTATGATTGAAGTAAAGCAGTTAAGCCCAATCACTTTTCAATTCACAATAGCCATGAGATGTTAGATTTTGCTATTTAACTATAGCCTCTTTATTAATATTAATCAAGTGATTTAGCCAATCCATACAAACTACCCTATTTCACTTGCTTTTTTTCTTAAATATCCTAATTTATAGTCTCTTGTGCACCACTTATTCTGTGTTCTTTGCTTATCATCTTATAACATCTGTTGATTCATTTTTAATGGCTCAGATCATTTAATTAATTTTATTTCATGAGAGCTTTTGTCTTGCTTATAGGTTTTAGAAGTGTAACATTACAGAGATGCCAATTATACTATATCAGATATTCACAAAGCTGTGAAACATATCCGTGCAATTGTTACAACAGTAATACATATGATATGTTGATTTAAGAACCCTAAGGACAGCAAGATCTTTCGTAGTTTTTCAAATATCTATAATAATGCAAGCTGAACATCTTGTGACCGAATTTTTTTTTGTTGTTTTTAATCTGTCCAATGGGGAAAAACTTTTGAAACCAATAGCCTGTTCTGCACGCTGAGACCATATGTTAGCTGAATTAAAAAATGTTTGTGAAGGGGCTCCCGAGTGGGGCAACCGTCTAAGCGTTGGCCCTACCATCAGGAGATCGTGAGTTCAATCCCTGGTGATGCTACAGCATCCGTGGCAGGGAGTCCAAAGAGCACAGTTGGCCTCGCTTTCTCTGGGTGGCTTCTCCCCCCTCTGCTTCTTCCCCCTTCACCCAACACAGTGTTAGCTGACATAACAGATCTGGCGGTTGGCGCTTTCCTTTGAGCGCGTTCAGCTGTCCAATGACGTTGCGTGAGCGGCAGTTCGAAAAGATGTGGTGCCGCTTCACAGGTCTTGGAGGAAGCCTGTGTTAGCCTTCACCCTCCTAGCACTGGTAGTATCGTGTGATTTGGGGGAGTCCTAACTAGTGGGTGGAATTGGACATGACTAAATTGGAAAGAAAATTGGGAAACCATTGCATTACACACTAGGACTGTGCATTTCAACTGAGTTTAATATTCGTAATTAATTACAGATTAAAAACTAAAATTAAAAATTGACTGAATTAATGAATTATTGAATGGATAATCGGTTAACCTCAGGGATTGGAAAAAAAAAAACTTTGGCTGAAATGAATGTAGTGCTGTAGGCTTGCTTTTTGGAGACAGCTTTAGTGTTAGACAAAAATAAGCAACACAAAGCAATATATTTGAAAACATTTTATTTTTGAAGAATAGCCTAGGGAAACTGGCTAAAAACTTTTTTGTGTTGGATGAGTGAGGAGGCTGCCTCTTATGAGCTAATGAGTGATACAACACTGGATTCTAATAGAGACTCATCTTCTTCTTACAGGTGGTATTTTGTTGTCAGTGGGTGACATGTCAACATAATTTGTCAGAAAAATATAGAGCTAGAGTAGAGTAACTGGGCTGGAGTAGTTGGCTATCTTTGCCTTCTCGGTCACATCCTTAACAACTTGCCCTTGGCAACAAATTAACGTTGAGGCACTCGTGTTTGGGAAAAGCAAGTTTAAAATTTATACATACTCACAAATGTGAGCAAACTCAACACATTTTACAGTCACGTTAAAAAGTACAATCAACAGTTATCAGAATTGTTGGCCTGTATATTCCCTCAGGGTTCCCGGAGTAAAGAATAATAAATACCCTAATAGTGATTTCAGTATCTGAATGGGTAGCTAGGTTGGTAGTAATATTGGAACACACCTCTTAATCATTGAATGTGGGTGTTTCATTTAGTCTCATTGCCACAGGTGTATAAAAGGCTCTAATGCACAGTGATGTCCTGACACAGTGATAAAGTGTTGTACAGGTGGCAAAAGTCTGACATTTACTGGGAGTTTTTAGTCTGACATTTCCTTTCTCACTTAGCAGGAGAGGCTGGATGGTGTTGAATGCACTTGAGAATCAAAGAATGTGATTCTCACTGTGGTGTTGGTGCACTCCAAATAAGAGTGGTAATACTAGCATCATGGACAGTTAACTGAGTACTCAAGAACCTGTGCACATTGCGACAACATACATATTAATACCATACCTTTCTCATTATATGAATGCATTGTTATCCGCTTCTCTCAGACTTGTATTTCTGAGTATGCATCTTTCCCCCTATTTTGCACTGTGTTTGTTTCTTTCAGGTTTGCCAGCACCCTAATGCTCGTATGAGGGAGTGGGGAGCTGAGGCTGTTACGTCTCTAATCAAAGCTGGCCTTGCCTACAAGCATGACCCTCCCCTGTCTCAGAACCAGGTAGCTGCTCTTTCCCATAAAGCAATCTGCTGTTGGTGTTTTCCTGTTTTTTGGTATTTGATTGTCCTGACTGAGCAATAAACACAAGTTGAACCTGAGAACGAGGACTGCACAGTGCCCAAAGGACTTAAGAGTGCTTACAATGTCTTTGGATAACCTATGACTGTCTTGATTTAATGGTTTCATGTCCACAGAGGCTGCAGCTGTTGTTGTTGAACCCTCTGAAGGAGCTGTCTAACATACTGCACGCTGACATCAGGCAGAAACAGCTCGAATGTGTGCTGCAGATTCTGCAGAGTCAAGGAGACAGCCTTGGTCCAGGCTGGCCTCTAGTGCTAGGGGTCATCGGAGCAATCCGCAATGACCAGGGGTGAGACACACATGTATTGCATTTTCCAGTCTTCCAGAGATAGTCTGTAAATGCAAAATAAAGTTCTCTGCAGCAGTAAGCATTTTAGTAGATTTATGCTTTTCAGAGTATTAACGATTTTTACCTAAACTCTTGCAGTCTTGTTTTTACTGGTCCACATTTGTAAATCGTTACTGTTCCTCCCCTGTGCTTTCCAGTGAATCCTTAATCCGAACAGCCTTCCAGTGTCTCCAGTTGGTGGTGACTGACTTTTTACCCACCATGCCTTGCACGTGCCTCCAGATCGTTGTGGATGTAGCTGGCAGCTTTGGTCTTCAAAACCAGGAACTGAATATCAGCCTGACCTCTATAGGGCTTTTGGTGAGATCCTCTGCTGTAAAGTGCCCATATCATGGAAGATTTTACTTGCTTTTTTGAATTAAAGAGTTTAATGTAGTAGGTAAATACTGTGAAAGTTTCAAAACAAACCATTCACATCCCTGGCCATACAGTCCTTAAATGGAAACTAAGCTGCAGAAATAGCCTGATTTAAGTTTATTGTTTTCGTGATGTCACAAAAATCAAAGCATTTACATACATCAGCTTGTTCAGCCTACAGCAATGGTAATTTACATATATCAGTTTTGAAGGTACATTAACGAAAACAGCCAGTTTAACTCTAAGGGATAAAGGGAAGTTGAAAAATGGTCATGTAAAAATGAATTATGACTGTTTTTGGTACATAAAACCACACAAATGTCAAAAGTGGACCTCCTGAGAAAAAAAAAATACAAGAAAAATGTAGGGTCGATACGGGCCATTTAAGAACCTAGCTATTATAAACTGTCCTTAAAATGTTTCTTTTTTGGAACAATAAAAGTTTCAAAGATACTAGGTTTTATAACAACCTCAACTCTTCCCTTCACCTCACCCGTTTATCTTTTGCAGTGGAACATTTCAGACTATTTCTTCCAACGGGGAGAGATCATTACAGAGGAGCTAGAAAGAGAGGAGGCTGTTCTGCTAAAACAGTCCCGAGAGAACGGAGAGCCTCTGAACAGACCCTTTCATCCTGCTCCCCCTTTTGACTGTCTGTGGTTGTGTCTGTACGCCAAGCTGGGAGAACTGTGTGTAGATCCTCGGCCGGCCGTCAGAAAAAGTGCTGGACAAACAATGTTCTCAACTATTGCTGCCCATGGAACCCTGCTGCAGCAGGCCACGTGGCACATAGTGGTGTGGAAGGTAAACTCGACAAACAAATAGCATTTAAATACTACTGAGTGTATTGTGAAAGGTTCAATCATTGATTGATTGTTAAATGATTTGTGAGATTATGCAGCATAGCCCAAGTCATTCGGTCAAGTAAGTGCAAAGATGTAGTAGTGTGCGGTACGGCTGGTATTTTATGTCATGGTATAATTAAAATTTCTGATTGTTTCGGGATATATAACAGTTTTTTTGTTTTTTTTTAAATAAGACCATTCAAGATGCTTTAGTTTTTTTTGTAGGTTAACAGTGGATTATTATTCTGGGATGTACCATCAAATTTAATAAGAGGTATTTTTAACAACAAAAGTAAATCTGATCTAAATGTTTTTATTGTACACAACAGTAAAAATAAAACTGAACAATATGTAAATAAGCCTATGTCAGTATTGCCTTTTAACGCTAACCTAGTGGGCCTGGCAAAAACAGTGCTAAATGTTGTTTCATAAGTTGGTTACTTATTCAGCAGCTTTTTGTTCGAATTTCTATGTTAAATGGAGCAGCAGTTATATCATTTGCTGCATTATTTAAGGTTGAGCGAGAAATTCGAATAAACAGCCAGTTGCAGTTCCACTGAAATTCATTTTTCTCATATATGCGTCCTGTACATTTGTGTTAATGACCGTCAAACACTGCAGGAATTTGCAAAATATTACATTCATGCTTCACTACCAGCTGGTCCACGGCTTGTTGCACGAACAAGGCCCGAAGACTTGCAGCTGACAGATTTAGGTGGCTTCTCAGGCAGTATGAGAGGCCTAGCAATCGGTTTGGTGTCCTTGTTTATGCTAAGGCTGACTGCAAAAGACTGGCCATGTCCACTGCTATGAAAACAAAGTGGACTACTTCAGATACAGTGTACTAGACAGCAGGAGGTAATTGAGGGGCTGCTCAATTTTCATTTTCATTTGAAATGCGACTGAAACACCCATGACTCAGCCACTCAGCTAAATGGCGAATGCTAGCATGGTATGTCGCATTATCTGTGCTTATTTGTGGCATACCAGTGTAAGGGTCATGACAAGACTCATACCTGAGGAAGAGTTGCAAGTGTTATACTGCATGATCCTGTATACTGCCCACTACTACAAAGATGTTATTTTTTTTCTGCGTCAGTTTGAGTTTGGGTTTGGGACTTGGTTAGATGAGGGTAAAAACAAAACAGGCTGGACAGTTAACATTTTAGCCAGTTTTTGCCAGTAAAAAAGTGTATACACCTTCAGAACAATGCAGGGAATCTGTTTTGTGCTGTAACCTGCAGGTGCTTTTTCACTTACTGGACTGCGTGAGGAAGTCTTCCACCACTGCAGATAAGGAGAAGATTGAATCAGGTGGCGGAAACATCCTCATCCACCACTCACGGGACACTGCAGAGAAACAATGGGCAGAGACTTGGGTACTGACCCTAGCTGGCGTTGCTCGCATCTTCAACACCAGGAGATACCTGCTGCAGCAACTGGGTAAGAAATGACAGAACAGCTTTACAGCGCTGATTCTGAAAAAATAATGTATATGTGATCCTTGATGTCCAGCTTCCACTATTGTTGTGGTGGTTGGCAGTATTGTAGTTGAATTTGCGGGAACTGGAGTGTGTATCAAATACAACAGTAATCAAATAATTGCTTAATTGCTAAGATGCAGTGAAACACTGCAGAGGCACTGACTTCTTCTTTCGTATGTGGTGGACGTAGCCAAAGAATTACAACTGGTTCCCTATTGAAACTGTACCAAAACTGAAGACTTCCCACTGCATTATAAGTAATTCTTCTAGCATTATTCTATTTTTGACATGACTGGTATCAGTAGCTTTCCTCACGTACAAATTTTACATACAGCACAATGGGCAATGCAGAATTTGTTTTTCTGTCCACATATAATTCATGTTAACCTTGTTGATTTTATTCTTTTGTTGCAATTAACAAATCCCTTCTCTGCTAAACCGCTAGGTGATTTCTTCAAAGCCTGGGAGGTCTTACTGGACCACATTCAGTCAGCAGCACTTAGCAAAAACAATGAAGTGTCCCTCGCTGCCCTTAAGAGTTTCCAGGAGATCCTCCAGCTGGTCACGCCTGTTAAGGACACGGACAAGCCAGATGCTCTGGGTGCTATGGACATTCCTCCTGTGCTCATGGACCCACTCACGGCTTCAGGCCCTGGCAGACCCCTGCCTCGCTCAGACTCTCTCGCTGAGCGACTGGCTCAGCGCTACGGTGCCCAGCCTCCGCCGCCACCACCTGGAGAAGAGCAGGACGACTCTGCCCTCTGGTGGTCAGCGTGGAGCACTTGGTACCGAACGGGGATTGAATGCACAAGGCCTCCGAGTGGTGGCACAGATAAACTAGCCTTTGTGCCCAGTCAGCCTTTTCTAACAGCGCTGATCCAGATTTTTCCTGCCCTCTACCAGCACATAGCGGGAGGATTTAGCATGGAGGACTTGCGCAAGTTGGGGGTCATACTGCATGGAGCAGTGTCTGTACCCATCAGCTCAGACGCTTCCCCCTTTATTCTGCCCTCCTACACAGAGGCAGTGCTCACTAGTCTGCAGGAGGCTGTACTCACAGCACTGGATGTGCTGCAGAAGGTAAGGATGAGGACGAGGAATTTTTTATTGATCCAGATGCTGTAACACATAACATAAAGATTAGAGGGAAAAGGTTCCACAAAAGCCAGATGTGTGCAAAAATCACTAAATGGCTGCTTTGTTCAGAATGACCTCTACAGACAAATGTTGTTTAATTCAAATTGATTTCACCATTTTTCCAAACTATCAGCATAATTTAGTCATTAAGATGTAAATACAGACATTCAGAGTGTTTTAATGTGAAATGGTGCAGTGTAGAGAAACTTTCTCAGATTTACAGTTATGTTGATAATTCGGTGGTCACGACATAAATATATGTAAATATAGAGGTTTACTTTCTTTCAGAAACAACCAGTGAACCTACTTGTTTCCGTAGGTTTTATATGTTAATAACAGTCCCAAAAAAATTTTTCTCGAGTACTATTTTGCTCTACAGCGACCCCTGTTTACTTCTCTGCCATGAAGGCTTTTTTTTTTGTTAAGTCAAAATTATTTTAAATTAAAATTAAATTATTAACAATATAGTAACTTTCTGTGAGGGAGCTTTTAGAGGCATCGGTGCTTCAGATGTCTGGTTCCTATCACAACCACTGTGAACTATTCTGACTCTAAGTTTCTCTAGAATGAACCAAACCACTCTAACTGACTTTGCTTTCATCTCACACCCACAAGGATTTTGCAGCCATTTTTTGTGATTGTAGCAGACTAAGTGCTTGATTTTGTAGTGGCCTTTCTCAAAATTTGCGGCAGTATTTTTCAGCAGGCTTTTTTTTTGGGTATGGTGGGGGTGGCGGATTGCAATATATAAAATTGTGAAGATTGAGTCTGATATTTATTTAACTTGTTTTAAATGTAGCCTAGTTAGTTTCTGTCAAAACAAATAGCAAATGAAGTGTGCCTTGTAGCTTCTTTAGCTGGTATGTTTATTGGTAAATGTGATCTGTTATCCAAGGTTATCCAAGACTGTCTTAAGCTAGTTTGATAGGAAAGGGACATTTGACTGACACGAGAAATAACCAGCAACAGATGGGTGCCGTGAACTTTTTTTAATCCAACATATATATTTCTATGACAGCCTCAGTCACAACTCATAGAGGAGTGGAGTTCTCCTGTAACAGATTACCTGTATTAGTAATAGTAGCCTCAAGTTTGTGGTTTGATGGGTGTTTTTGCAGTAAGGATTAATTTCCTGAAGTCTGTGCAGGGAGTATTTTTTCTTATATCCCCCAAGTGTGAGTTTCAGATGTTAAGATGAAAATGAAAACACAATAAATGTCTTTTGCTTACTTTAACTGTAAAACAACCACAAATTCTGAGAATTTTGTGTTTGTTTATGTGTGTTTTTGTATGTGTGTGTTTAATTCAGGCAATCTGTGTTGGTCCTGAGACCCTGCAGGTGATGTACCCTGCCATCTTTGAGCAGCTCCTACAGTTTGTCGAGTTCTCTTGCAAGCCGCCACAGTACGGCAAAATGGAAACCAAGCATGTGGCTAATGCAAAATATAATCAGGTAAGTCTTCAGTCTACACATGTTGTAACTTACATTTAGAAAGTCCTTGTGTAGTTTAAAATCATGGAATTCATGTGCATTCATTGCATGGACGTGAAATATATAGCCTTTTTTAATGTTTTGCAAATGCACAAAGTGACTAATGTAGCTTTTTTTTCTCCATGTTATCTGGGACATTGCTTTATCGTCTTTTTGTCATTTTTGATTGCTTTTGGATGTGGTTAACATTCTTAAGGTGGACAGTGTAGTGCTTGGGATGCTTCGGAGAGGGGATTGTTGTGGGATTTGGGGAGTGGGGAGGAGAGTATTGTTTGTGCTATAAAATCTCTTCTGAGGGCACTACAAAGGCATCGAGTTTCCCTGTCCGATTCCATCTTTGTTTTTTGTTTTTTTCTTCCTTTCATTCAGCATCATTTTTAAAACCTTAAAACCATATTCATTCACTCTTTTCTTGGCCTTCATCACTTCTCTTTCAAATGCTACAGTTATAGAGCAACTTATCATCTTCAAGAACCAGTCTTTCTCAATCCTTTATCTGTTCATTCTGAAGTTTTCTGTCATTACTCTGTGCTGTCATGTGAAACGGTTAACGCTTGTCCACTTTTCTCTCGTTCTGTTTTTTTGTACTTATCATATGGATCCACTTTAGATCCAACTGTTTGCACCGGTGAGTTTTTCCCACCCCTCTCTGCCCCTCTTTCAGCATAATGCGGCTCGGTGGTAACACTTGTGACGCGGGACGACTTTCTGCTATCTCGATTATCATCACTTATACTCATTCTTTCACCTGTCCTCCTTTCTTCACCAGCCCTGCCTACCTGACTTCCATATGCTGTCTTAACAAGCTCCAACAAGGCTCTAATTATGGATGTTTTCAAATGGGCTGCTGGTCAGCTCTTTTCCAGACTTTGTGAAATAAACAGTGAACAGATTTTCAGTAGTTGTTGGAGTTTGCAGGGCAGTCTACAGTAGGGTTTTGATGTTGACTGTGTGTGTCTGTGTGTGCACGCTTTGCTTTAATCAGTGTCAGCCTTATAATAATAATAATTTTGCTTCTGTGGCGATGATCATATGCGCACATGGAATTATTTATCTGTGTTAATTCATCCCTTTTTTTTCCTCTCTCTTTCTGTCTGTCTACCTATAGGCAGAATGGGTGGCCTTAAACTATGTACCGTTTGCTGAGAGGTCTCTTGAGGTGGTGGTAGACCTGTATCACAAAACTGCCTGCCACAAAGCTGTCATCAATGAGAAAGTGTTACAGAGCATCATTAAGGTAATGTTCAATTTTAAGCAGTTCATCAAATATGCATCAAAGCACAGGGTAGTCTCTTGGCACACAGATTTTAAATGTGCTTGTCTGCTGTGTTGGTGCTGCTATATCAATGTATCAGTGGTGTGTAAAGTACTTGATGAATTAAAAATTAGGGAAAATTCTAAATACTTAATATATGGCAAGAAAAGTCTTCACCGATTGCACATACAGTACTGTGCACAATCAGAGACCACCCTCAATTAATTTCATGTCAAAATGGCCAGTAAGTTATTTATTTTTCAGGAGACATTTCTGAGGCGATTAAATAAATGAAGGGCAGTCTCTGGTATTTGTACAGTACTGTAAGTTGGAGTTAAAGTTTATTTTCAGGTCCTTTATTGCTTACATTTAGCTTAATATTTCATGTGATTTACCTGGCTTCCTCCCCCTTGTGACTGCTCTAGACTCTGAGAATGCCCTTGGGGCTGAAGTATGCATGTCCTGCAGAGAGCACCTGGAAGCTGGCAGTTTCCTCTCTGCTCAAAGTTCTCTCCATTGGCCTCCCTGTCGCCCGGCAACAGGCCTCCTCGGGCAAGTTTGACACCATGTGGCCCGAGCTAGCCAACGCCTTCGAGGACTTCCTCTTCACCAAAAGGTTTCTAGCACAACTATGTGTAGCCTGTACACAGAAGCCATTTTTAAAGTTTGTTTTTTAATACTTCTTTGTTCACATACCTTATGATACAGCATTGCCTCTGGTGTTTTTAAGACTCTTTTCAGGGAAAACATGTTTCTAATTGCGTTTACCTTAGAGACGAACACAACCAATGTACTCAACTTTCTGTCTCCAGCACACCTCCTGATAACCTGTCCATTCAAGAGTTCCAGAAGAATGAGGCCGTTGATGTCGAGGTAGGCTATATCCTTTCAAATTCATAATTGGGGAAAGTACTGATAGATGTTTTTCATAATGTTTACACAATTGTGTATAAAAATGAAATGATATGCTCCGTACACTTAATGATGATACCAGTAGTGATGCTGAGATCACGACTGCATTACTGGTTGATTTGCATAAGTTATTGCGGTGATCATCATGCTCTGTAGTTCATCAGTGATGAACTTGAGTGTTGTTTTCAAGAGCCTCCACTGTAACAAATGAGAGTGAGAGGGCTACAGTTGTGAAGGAAATGGAACCATTTAACCCAGCATTTACTCAATTAAATTAACGTTGTTGAATCATTGAAAGTCACACATATAGTGAAGAAAAATATGAATGCAGCACTTCTGGTTTTGTTCTTACAGTAGTTTGATTGAAAGAAATCCAGGACATGTCACACTGCTACAGGCAAATGTAGATACAGATATATGTTGACAGATTATAATATTTGGGAATTTTGTTTTATGACCCACCCTAATTTTTTGTTAGGTTTTATAAAATCTTTTCAGTAAAAAGTCTTGCGTTTATATTTTTGTTTAGTGTACATTCTTGTCCACTTGTATAGCTATAACAAAAAGCAGTGCTGCTGAACAGTGTAGTTCACATTTTTGAAAAAGCAAACGCACAGCATTTCTGTATCAGACGTTTTTGACAGCACTTCTTTCAGTGACATTATCTATTTTGTCCTCTAGGTGGTGCAGTTGATCAGCACAGAGATTTTGCCCTATGCCAATTTCATCCCCAAAGAGTTTGTAGGTCAGATCATGGCCATGCTCAACAAAGGATCCATCCACTCCCAGTCCTCTTCCTTTACAGGTGAGAAATAAGCAGTTGTTGCATCCAACATTTTAAAACACGTTATTACATTGAGCAGATGTGCTGTACTTTGAGTTTTAATGACATAAATAATTGCTGTCATTAATTGCTCATATAAATAGTAGCATTTTTTTAACATATTAGTAAAAATGGCATGGATAATGTTTTTAAGATTTGAAAGGATTGAACCTATTCACGTATCAGACCATCTCCAAAAAGGATCTATATTGGAATATCTGTTACTGTCTGATTTCTGAGCATTGCTTAATGTTACTTATTTTGTCTGTATTCAGTTAGAGATTGCACATTACTTTGAACATGACCATTGTGTTTCCTTGTTTAACACAAAAGCGTGTGCAGATTTTTAACACAGACATAAGTGCTGATTCCAGTTGTGCTGCTTTCTTGTGGCTTGACATGAAATGTGTTTCAACAGTGCTTATGCAGAAAATGTGTTGTTAATTAGCTAGGGCTGTCAAAATTAACATACTAATAACATGTTAATGCGATACATTGTTAACGCCACTAATTTTTAAATACTGTTAACACATTTTCCTTTGCTCCTTTGAACTATCCATAGCACAGCACAGCTATAGAGCATTAAGTGTTGCTGTGCTAGAATCCACAATTGTGGCCCTCCTGTTCAAATTCAGCTTTTAAATGGATTTCTAAGGAAAGCCTTTCGTATACTTCTCTGAAGAGTGCTTGTAGGAGACCTATGGATAAATCAGCAAGCAGCAAACTAAAAAAAGCAACAGCAGACGTGGAAACCTAGAGTTGCTCTCAATAGCCTAATTAAATTATTGAAAGTAATACATATACTGAACATCAATATAAATTCAAGAGTTTGGGTTTTGTTCCCAGTTTACAGCAGTTTGAATAAAAATCCAGGATTTTTTCCTAGAATAAGCCACGCTTACACAGGCGAATGGTGGTCACACCAGATTATAATATATAAGAATTCTGTTTCATTACCCACCTGATTTTTGTGGGGATTCAGTAAAATCTTTCTAGTAAAAAGTGTTGGATCTGTATTTTTGTCCACGCTTATAGCTCTTGAAACATGTGAAAAGCGCTTTTTTGAAAATGAACATATTCTTCAGGTTTGTATTTTGAGCAAGACAAATGCAATTAATTGCAATTACCTACTCAAAATCATGTGGTTAACCATGATAAACTACATTAAATAATATGAGAAATCACAATTAACTCTAATCATTACTGTCGTCTTTTGACAGCCCTACACATCACTATTGAAAATGTGTTTAGTCCTGTCATGCTGTTTTGTTTTCAGAGGCAGAGATTGATATCCGGATGCGGGAGGAGTTCTCTAAAGTGTGCTTTGAGACCCTCCTGCAGTTTTCCTTCAGTAATAAAGCGAGCACACCACAGGAGGGCTATATCTCGCGCATGGCTCTCTCAGTGTTGCTGCAGAGAGCGCAGGACGTGCTCCGCAGATACGTCGAGGACGAGAGACTCAGCGGCCGCTGCCCACTGCCCAGGTAATTATACACACACATACATATGGTATACGCACATAATTCTAAGGTGAGCAGGTAAGTTACCTCGGTTTAACCTTAAACGGCAGAGTCCCCTCTTACAAATCCATTTCTCTTTTGGCCATATGACTGGCATGAACTACTCATCTAAATGTGCTCTTACAGTGTGTGAATCTGCCACACACTCAGAACCATAACAGTCTTCTCACTGTGTCTCCCTCAGTGCACACAGGATGGAGCTAGAATGCCATCCGTACAGGTTAAGCCCATTTGCATCTTTCATTGGTCCTTCATTCATCCGTTGAACAGTGTTCTTCCATTTTGTTCTCAGTCCTCTTTGCTTCTCCCCCACCATTTGTTGGCACGAATGTGACACAGTGTGATGGCTCTCTACCTGTGGGTGACCAACTGCTGCCCTTTGTAATTTTAGTGTGATTACATATCTGGATTATTGGACTGGAGTGATCAGTAATGCACAGTGTTGGTTGCATGATGACACCCATTGATCGATGTACAGTTTTTAATGGATATGTCATTGCATAGGACTGTAATGCTATTCTTGCTGGATTAGTTTTGCAAGGGGATGTTTTGGAATGCAGTTTTATAGGACTTGACTGGCTGATTTATATACCATACAGAATCTGTGCGGGTTTCCCCAAATGTAAACATCATAAGCCCAGGTGTTCATGCCAGCGTTACAACAGCACCACACTCAATAGCAACAACAACACAGCCATGTCTATTACTAGTTTTTGTTCTTGTTTTACTGTGAAGTCAATTAGAACAGAATGACTATAACTAATGACTAATGACCATAAATTCAGGGAGCGCCAGTTACAGATGGTCATTCACGCTGCAGATTTATACCACCTTAAAATCACAGACCTCATTCTTCCTTACTTAAGTTACAGTATCTCCCCTGGTGAAACTAATCTGTCTTGAATAAGACTTCTTATGTCAGACTCTGACCAGTGATTTTGATCTTTTGTTTTATTTTTTGGTGTTTTTTTTCTTCTAGGCAACAAGTGACAGAAATCATTTTTGTCTTAAAAGCTGTTAGCACGCTCATGGATTCCCTCAAAAAGACACAACCAGAGAATGGTGAGTGTATTTATTAGAGCAGCATAGTGAACATTTCGGTTCTGCTTGTCTTGTTTTTGAATTGTTAGTTTTTATGTCAAGCATGAAGCAGAATCTTTGTCCTCTTTACTTTTAAGGTAAAAATCTTTTAATCATCAGTTCTTATCCTTGTTTTCTCACCCTGTCCGTTTTGTGTACTCTGGTGTTCTGTCTGTCTCTCTTGTCTTTCACTCCTCCTCCTCGCCCTGCTATCTGGGTGGTCTCTGCAGTGGATGGGAATACCTGGGCTCAGGTGATTGCTCTGTACCCCACGCTGGTGGAGTGTATCACCTGCTCCTCTCCCGAGGTCAGCTCTGCTCTGAAGGAGGCTCTGGGGCCTTTCAAAGACTTAATGCAGCCGCCAGTGTCCAAAGTTCAGAACGGGGAGTCGTGATCTGATCCCCCCGCAAGCTTTTTATCCAGCCGGAACCATGAATGTGACTCTATCACATGCACACACACACATGGACTGTTTCTCACCCCAGCGCATCTTATTGCTGTCGTCATGGAAACCAAGCTCCATCATTCTGAGCTTCTTCTAACACATGTTTATTAGATTATGATTGGCTGCCTGGACAGTAACAATGTATTAACTGCTCCATAAAATTTGCAGTGTTCATTGTTTTTATTGCCCCCCAAACCTTTTTTTTCTTTACCACGACAGGAGTTAATGTACAGTGTGTGGTGATAGTGTTAATGATGTAACAAAACAAAAAAAAAATTCAGCATTAATCTCAAATCGAGAATGATTTAAAAATACATCAATTAATAAAAAAGATTTGTCTTTTTGTGACATTTTCTCAACAGCAAAAGATTTTATGCAAGATCTTACTGTAACATTCCATGCCATCTTTAGTCAGCTGGAGAAGGGATGTACCCTGTGTGTGTAAAATAAATGGTACAGTTCTATGAACACCTAATCCTTTTTATGTATATCTGGATCTAATGAGATGTGTCTGGTTTTATCTGGATCACCATCATCGCCTGTGTGTCATATGTACGGCAAATAAGCCACTTTTCATAATTATACCAGTTGAAGGAAATTATCATTATTATTATTATTATTATTATTATTTATCCAGCACTTTGTATCAAATAAAGGTCATGCATGTGAGGTAATATATCTCTTCTACGTTGAGAGGATGATCTGCTCCAGGAGGGTACGAGATATTGACCGGAAGAGGGATGGGCGGGGTTCTCTTTCATTTCATTGGCTGCCCGTTCAGCCAATCGCGCGTGAGAATAGAGAGGAACCCGCTGTACAGCTGAGAGCGCCAGTCTGCCATTCAGCGAGGTGGGCGATCCGCGGAGGGGTAGTATCTCCTTTAAAGCCGCCGCGAAGTGGCCCTGATGTGACTCCTCCGAGACTCTCTGGTGAAGCGGCTCTCAGCGCAGCCATGTCCTGGCTGAGGTAGTAGTTTGTGCTGTTGGTTGGGATGTGAGATTGCCCGCTATGGAGGTGACTGCGCAAGCTACTGCCTTGCTAGTGCTGGTGATGAACTTCGGCCGGAGCTGTAGCGGTGAACAGCGTGTTTCCACTTTCTGCTGAATTATAACAGACCTTACTAGTGCAGCATTAGCGTGAAGGTGATGTATGTGTTGTAATTTTCTCCTGTGCTGCTATTCGGCTCCTCAACGAGCCACGAGGATCAGCTGACGCCTTCAGAAGTGAGTCTGCAGGAGCCGCCTGTGTGTCCTGGTGTTCAGTCGGCAGAGCGGTAGTTTTTCATCTTTCTAATGTTATGGTCATCTGTACAGACTGCAAGGAGCGTTTTCTCCACTGTCTGGTCGATGTGGTGTTGCTATGAGGAAAGAAACGCGCCCTTTTGTACCCGTTATCGGGGCGTATCTGTGGGCAGTGCCGTTAGCAGGTGACTCATTTCTGAAGAGGTGTTTATTAGCTCTCTCGGAAATGAATGAAGAGCGACCTTAATCTCAGATCTGTGGTGTTTTGCCATAGAATACAAGCTTAAAACTGTGTAAAGGGTCATTTAGAATCGAGAGGACTGCACATGTTCATTACTAAACTACAGACTCAGGTTTGAGGGGCTCAGTCGTAATAGAACTGTAATAAAGGGCTAAATCTGCTGATCTATAAAACAAAAAAGAAATCCTCTTTCATGTTCTGTCTTTCTCTCTCTCTCTCTCTCTCTCTCTCTCTCTCTCTCTCTCTCTCTCTCTCTCTCTCTCTCTCTCTCTCCCTTCTATGCATAGATAGAAACAGAGCAACTTTAGAGTAGTCAAGGACAAGTCGTTGAAAGTTATGTGGATTAGGAGTAGATAAATATGATTTACTGATGCATTCACAAATTGGTTAAAGAAATAGTTTTAAATAAAAAATATTATGTAAATATTAAATATTATGTAAACATTTCACCCCATGCCTTAGGTGTAGTTTGTCATTGCTTGAAACATGTCTATAATTTGCTTCTTTCATTTTTCTCTGGAGCTACTGCTATAATAGAGGTCTGTTTTGAGTGACACTTAAATGACTTGTTAGCTCCATCTGCCTCGTAGCTCCAGTGCAAAACTAAATGTGTGTTGATAGCTTGACTACGTTTCGGGTAAAACGAGTGGAAAACTACATTTGTTTTTTTTTGGTGAACCATCCCTTTAAAGAGGCCACACAGCCTAAGTGACAGTCTTCCATGGGAGAATTCCTCACAGCCCCTCCTTTGGGCCTCTCCTCCAGTGAGCATGTGGGTGACCTTGAGGGCCCATCCTCCCATCCTCCCACACTTGGTGCTCACTGTGCTCAGGGACTGTGCGTGTGAGAGAGTGATGATAAAGCCAGTGCCGATGGCACACACTCTGTCTTCTCATGCCAAATGAGTCTTGTTGTAGTCACACTCGGGCTGTGCTGACCAGATGGCCTCTCTCTTGGGAGTGTGTTGGTGGTGCCCAGCAGATCACACAGCTCTGCTCTGAGATCTCCCACTCATACCTCTCTTCAGGCAATGCAGTGATGAAGTGAAAACAGTGCAGTGTAGACTGGGCTATTCAGACTGTTTTTTATTGTTAAAATACTAATGTGACCACACCTTTAGAGCAGGATGGGCCTTCATTTTTCACTTCACTTATCATTTCTATGCTGTTCTCCTGAGATTGAAGTCAGTGCAATCAGTCTAGTTCTATTATGCAACTTTGGGAAAACAACTTTAGGAAAAGCTACTTTTAAGGTCACTGATTCTCATCTGAATGTTACTAACTAATTTGGTATGACCTCTAAAGGGTCCATTAGCCAGGGAAGGTAACTGTAGCAGCACGCTGGGTGACTCTGCCTCTGTTTTCTTTTTTAAGACTCTAAAGTTAGGGTTACAGGATATGGATAAATACAAAATTACATTATATTTTGCAATAGAGCTGACTAAAATACATTGGTTATCTGTAGTACAGGTTAATGACTGCCCTGTATTATTGTTGGATCAATAATTACACTATTGTTATTATTCTTGTGAATGCTGTGGTTCATCCAAACACCAAAATAATTCTGTCTGTGATTCATCAGGATTTTCATAATATAAAAAAATGTGATTGGTTAGAGGCTCATTTGAATATTGCAGACTTCTGTGATATCAGTAATATTAAGGCTGCTGTTGTGATAAAAACTAACAAATAGCATATTGTGGAGCCCAACGTACAGTGAAACTCCTCAAAGCTGGACAGCGCAGTAATAATGACTCTGTAATTCACAGGTTTCCCAGTAGTGCAAGCACAGTTGGAAATGTCTGTTCTGTTTTTTTTGAGTTTATTGGACTGTAGCATTATTAGAAACGCATGATCGAATCTTATGTGCTTCTTCAGTATTTACAGTACCCCAGGCATAATAGAAAGAAGATGTAAAAAAAAAAAAAATTAAATAAATAATTTCAATAAATCAAATTAAAGCTGCACTGTTTTTCACATCTTGCATGGGACATTTACATCAATAAGTGACCAAAAAAGAAAAGTGTTTTAGTCTCGCATCCTCAGCCACAATTCCTACACCATGTGTATAAAAAGGCTCTTCAGCTTTGTGCTGTTGGAAAACACCCACACTGAAATATGGACCCTCAGAGCATGTGAGAGAGCACACGCCATGGACTGGAAGTTGATTTTTTTTTCCCCCAGATAGATCTCTAAATGTATTTACACCTCTCTGTATTCTCTGTAAACCTAGTTATCCAAAACCCAGTAGTTTCCCTTTGTGTTCCATTCACAGAATGGACAAGAGGAAAGAGACAAAATCATATGTTAAGAGAATAAATAAACAGAAGGCAATAGGAAGACTTCAGCACAGCCAGGCTGTGAGCAGTAGCTTTTGAACTATATATTAGGAACTGGTTGTTGAGTAGCAATTGTAGAACACTGACATATGAAGTCCTACAGTTTGTCAAACTTTAAATTTATGTTTAATCTACTGTGACCTCCAGTGAGGAGTCAGAAGTCTTAAGACAGCTCTTGTGATTGTTCTATATCTTCAAAGCCTTAGGGCCAGCGAAGGCCATTCTGAACGGCTCTATGATGATGAGTCAGGGGAGCTCTTTGCCTCCTCCATCACTGTTCCTTGGCTCTCCATTGGTCACCTTGGCTGTGGTGGTCTGTTTCCAAACATTAGAGGAATGATGTAAACAGATATGTCATCACCAGAGCCCAGTCCATCATTGGCTATCCTCCAGCCTCGGTCACTCAGCACCCCTCTGGCTTTCATCACCAAGTCTTGGGCTGCCATAGTATACCTGAATAACCAAGGAGAGATAGAGAGTAGCTGCTAAAGAGACTGTCATGCACTATTTAGGGCACATAAAGTGCCTAGGCAGTATTGTAGCATTGCTTATATAAACTATGGTCATTCGTTTTTACCACTCTGGCAGGGTAAAGCTACGTGCCATCCACGAAAGGTGCCATCTTTCCAAACAACCAGAAACAGAGCAATGACATTTTCTCAGCATGCTTAAAAAAACTTTAATTGTCCAACCTTTCATGACCTTGAAAAAAGGCCAGTTTTGGTTAATACTTGGCTAACATGGTCAATGGTCTTCTTGCCAAACTACTGTACTTTGCTGCTTGAAAAACGAGCATAGCTGGTCACCAGCAAAACCAGCATATGCTGTGTTTTGGATGCTGGTCAGCAGCGATGGAAGCTGTTATGCTGATCACCACCAAAACCAGCATATTTTGTGTTTTGGATGCTGGTATGCTGGTCAACCACCAGCACCAGACCAGCGAAAACCAGTATAGTGTAGTGGGTAAAACCTCTGCCCTCTGTGCTGTAGACTGGGGTTCAAATCCTGCCTGCGTAAGCATCCTGCGTTATACCAGTAAGAGTCCTTGGGCAAGACTCCTAACACTACCTTCGCCTACCTGCATAAAATGATCAAATTGTAAGTCACTCTGGATAAGAGCGTCTACCAAACGCCTAAAGTGAAAGTGTGGAAACAGGCATGGGATTTATGCTGTCTAAGCTGTTTTTTCCACCAAGGTTAACTAACATCAATCAGTGGCCAAACTACTGTACTTGGCTAACATCAGTCAGTGGTTTTTTTGCCAAACTACTGTCTGTTGTACATTCAGGCTGCATCTGATTAGATTCCCAGGTTATTTAGTAAGGTGGTTCTTCAAGTGTCTATACATTTGCTGTAAAGGTGTAATAACTGATGCATTTATTTGTTGACAAGTGCACAACCATGCTCTAAGAGACTATTCATGCCTTAATTTAGCTTGGGGCAGCCTTTCAGGGCAGGCTGGATATTTACTCTTGTGATCTGCTTTAGCACTGTTTCCCACCCTCAAGAACTTGCCTGTGATGGTCGTCAGGGTCACAGTTTCCAAGGAAACTAGTGACTGCCTCAGCTACTTCCTGGTTGGAGAGAACATCCCATAATCCATCTGTTGCCATAACCATGACATCATCAGCTCCATGCTCAAACTGCTCCAAGTTGTACACTTTCACCTAGACACCAAAACAAACCAAGTCCTTTATGTTCATCAGTTTTCTTTTCAAATAAATGCAAATGTTGTGCTGGAGTTTGATTTGGAGATAATGCTGGTTACGAACAAGAACTGAGGCTCTGTGCGTCACTAAGTTTTGTAAAGATCACCCTTTAATCCAAGTGCTTTAAGTATACTTTTGCTTAAAATTTCACATTGTTTCCACCTTCATGCACACATTTCAGTTCCTTACTGTTTGTCAGAGTCAAAACAAATACATTTTCCAGGATCAAGTTTCTTCATTAGCATCTTCAAAGGCTTATCTTGGCTTCATTTAGGCAAATCATACCACCATATACTACAACCTCAGTGCAACATAATTCACCCAAGGATTGTGTTTTTTTGGAATGTATCCACGTTCAGTGCCATCTCAGCATGCACAGTTAAGGGTTTAAAAAGACGTTGTTTTGGCTCAATACTCCAGCACAGTGGATTTCAAAATGAAACAATGAGTGAGGTTAATGTGCAGAATCTAATCTTTATTGTAACTGTATTGTGTCTACACTGAATTAACCTTGCTTTCACAGCACTTGTTTACTTCATGCACATAAGGGCTAAAAAAGATTTGATTCTAGATGTGGGATTTGTATCCGGACTTTTTTCAGGTTGTATTACTCAACCTGAAGACAAAGAGGTGCCAATGCCAGTAAAGTAGATGGTGATGAAAAAGAAGGCTAGGAGAAAACTTAAAACATCAACACATGGGAGTATAAAGGTAGTGTTAAAACTGGTATAAAGCTAAACTGTAATGAAAAACACTTTCACATTGATTTACAAATGGTTCACAGTAATAATTTTCAGTATCAGTAGTAATAATAATAATATTAATAATAATAATAATGCTTTAATTGTGTAGCACATTTAATACATATAATGTAGCCTAAAGTGGGTTTCACAGAGGGTTAAAAGATAAAAAGAAAATCCAAAATATAAATAAAATCACCTAAACACAGCAAGAATATGGTAAAATTCTATAAAAATAAGAAACATGAAAACAAAATAAGATGTTCTGATCCAGCTTCTTGCTCCACAATCTGATCAGCCGATAGCAGTTTGTTTTTTTGTGTTCAAAGAAAATACAGTTACATAATTTAGGTCAAATGTGCTAGACTGCCAGTTGAACTTATATTAATATTACTACATTTAAATGTGATATTCTGGACTGCTATGTTTTGTTTTTTGTCCTACTTTTTTAAAATGGCCATTTTGTAGTATGTTTAATACTGGCTTATGATCAAATTTGAATGACTGACCTGATGATTTGGCTTCAGTCTGCCTTAGTATTCTGCAGTAAAACTACCTTTTCATATGTGCATAATGCTGTACACTCTGAACTGATATTTTTGTTTTTGTTTATGTTTATGTGATGCATGTGATAAATTATGTGATACAACCATTTATAGTGTCTTCAATACACTGTTTTCATATCGCTCTTACGTGTGCAGTAACTGCTCCTTTCTGTAGATTCAACACACTATTTCTGCTAATGCAGTTCATGCAGTCATGCATTACGCTGCTGTTTACCATCTAATATCAGAGTTATGTTTTTTCTTTGAAAAGATAAAGGGACATTTTATTTTCTATTTCCGTCCACTGGTACCTGCCACTTACTCCCATGTTTTGTAGCTACTGCTGGGCAAAAATGGAAATAACTAACATTATTTATTTGGCAAATGTGTTCCCATCGTAACTTATCATTTTTTTTTTTTGTTGGTTATCTGAAATTTCTTCTACAAAAAATTTCTTTCTACAAAATATGTGTAGTAGTTGAAGTAGTATGAAGTAGTATATGAAGTAGTATATATTGTTTAAATAAAACAATAGCTAAGGAGTTCTGTTGCTTTATGTAAAATCCTGTGCTGGAGTACACAGCCAAAACAACAAAAACGGTATGACTGTACTTAGAGACTATGACAAGAACCTGCCCAAAAAAGCTCTGGCATAAAGAGGAGGGGATTCTTAAGATTAAAAACTTAGAGAAGCTAAGCTTTCCTTATCTTTGTATGGTTGAACTGTGGCTGAACTCTGCACAACTGTGAATTAAAGATCAAGAGAGCTTCAGAAGATTTTACAGGCAGTGCAGGGAGAGCACAGAGAGACTGCCATGCCGTCAGGGGCTGCAGTGCCTGAAGAGAAGGCAAGTAGAGTTCAGCTGTTTAAAAGTGAACATGTTGAAAGAGGCCGCCAAGTTCTTTCCACTCAAAATGACGGGACTGCTAACAAGAACATAATGCCAACATCCTGACAACCAACAACCAAATAGAGTGTGAGCATGTCATGCTTTCGTATAGTTGTACCAGGGCAAAAAAACACATCTTAAATTTAGATTACAGTTACATTTTAACTTGGGATGCACAATGATATCAGAATCATATCAGTATTTTGCTTAAAAAAATGATCAGCACTGGACAGATTTTTCGATTTGGCTAATATTTCGAACCCATGTTCAATGACATGCGTATTGTACTCTTGAAGAGCAGAACGTTTAAGCTAAAATGTCTATAATTTATTTTTCACTGCATTTGTAACCCTATAGCAATAAGTGTTATATTTCTCCATAATGCTAATTGGATTTGGTCCCATTTTTATAAATGTTTATGCAATGGACATCGGCATCACCCCTCAATTCCCAGATTGGTGCATCCCTAATTATAACTTATGCAGACTTTATCCATAGTCATACTCTTTAGGGAAACCGATTGTTAGCTTATCATTACTGTTTTAACAAAACCTAATATATATGAATATGTTAACGTTAGAGGAGAAGGAAATCTGTATTAGCTCTGATAGAACAAAACTTTATTCCAAGTAATTTTGAGCTATTTTCATTGGTCCATTTATCACAGAGTCTTTGCACAATGTAAGGCTGTTGGCACCTTTAAACGTGTTTAAAAAATGAATAAAAACAGAAAAAACATTAGTAATAAGGTTTTGATATGATATATAAAATATAATAATGTGCAATACATGTGCAATACTTCTTGTGCAATATTCCATGTGCAATACTAATATAATAATCCTATAATATTTACACTGTAAAAATCCTTACAGTGTAAAGATTCTTTTGCTTTTTTATTTATAATGTTTATATTGTTAATTTTTGTGAAGGATAGAGTTTATATTTTTATCCTGAGTTTATTTTTTATTTTTATATATTTAGTATATATGGTAATAAGTAACAAACTGTAACCTTGTTAAGAAATTAACATGGTTAATTACTTTGTTAATTCTGTTCTTGTTACTCATTTCTTGAATGCCTTGCTATCCCTTTGCTGCTATAGCTGTACTGTAAATTTCCCCTGTGGTGGGACTAATAAAGGATTATCTTATCTAAAAGGGCAGAGTTATCCTACCTCTGGGCAGCTGGAGAGAAAAGGTTTGATGGAGATGTCCGTGCCATGAACCTTTAGATCGTGGTCACCAAACCCCCTTGTAACACCAATGGTGGCCATCACTCGTGCCTGCAACCAAAGAAAACACTTAAAATTCCAAACTTGTTACTTCACCAGTTATAATCTGATCATTTATTGCCTAATTTAATTGAAAGTACATAATAAGCTCTAACAGAAGCTACTTTGCCTGATGTCCTTACACTGAACCAGAGTCTAACAGACTTGATTTAATAACCCTGACATGGCTTTCTTGCTCTTTCGCTGTGTTTTCAGCCATCTCCTTCTTATCCGCCTTTTCTTTTGTTCCTCCCCTCAGAGCACTCTCGACTTTATTCTTATCAGTGTGCTCGCTGCTCCTCGTATACCTCCGCTTGCTCATAGCGAAGGAGGGTAAAGAGTTCACGGAAACATTATCAAACGCAGCATGAGAGAAGGAGGAGGAGGACTATGCAGGCACCAAAGAGAGAGCCCAGCTTCTGTATGCACAGCAAATGCTTAATATGTATAATATGCATGGTAGGAGGCGTGCATTTACACTGATCTACAACCAGCTTCCTCCACTCTAATTCTTTATTTATGCATTGAAACAGCTGCTGCAAAACTGGTCTGAGATCAGAGAAAAGAATCCAAATCTATGAAGAGCTGCTAAAGGTCCTCAGGCGCAAAAGAAAAGTATCCTGAGATGTTTGGCTCATTATTGGGCCTGGCAGGTTCCCCGGTGGGCTTTGAAGTGCTTTGACGTTCCACTAGGGCAAAGCCAAGTTGCGATATCTGCACCACCTCTCTCGCACTTCAAAGAAAGTGATGTATAATTCCTCTGCTGGGACCCACTATACTGTTTTTTTTCTTGTTTAAAGGAGAGTTTCACAAATATACTGTCTCAATGTGTAAACAACAGTACAACAATATAATTCTTAAGTTCACACTACACTCTTAAAAAAAGGATGGTTCTTCAAGGGTTCTTTAATAAAAACAATGGTTCAATATAGAACTATGACCCCTCAAAGAACCGTTTGCATGCTTAAATGGTTCTTTGCATGGTGAAGTGTTCTTCAGACTGATGGAGAATGCTTTGTTTATAGTTCTATATAGAACCTTTTTGAAACGGGTTCTATATAGCACCCAAAACGGGTTATTCTATTGTTACAATGTCAAGCTTGAGTGTCTTTCCGAATGAACCCTTTAAGAACCATCTGTTTTAAGAGTGTAGTATGAGTTTGGTCTTATAAACTCAAAACTCACCTGCCAGATGATGTTTTTTGGACATGCACTTGACATATGATGTAACTTCATGAAACCAGGAGATAACTCCCTCTTACCTTGAAAGGTAAGGCTGAATCAGTGGCTATACTGTTATATATAAGTGTTTTTGTAGTCGAGAGAACAGGCTCTGTTAACACCAGGAAATGTAGATTTTTGCATTAAATTTGCCCAACTATTAATATCAGGCCAATATCAGCAAATGCTGGATTGAATATCAGAGGAAAAAAGAATGAATGTGATTTTATCTTGTAACAAATCCATCCTGAAAAAGCACCTACATTAATATTGTGTGATGCTGTTGGCCGTGTATTTCTTCCTGAGGGGTAGTGGAGTATTTGAGTAGTTTGAGTATGATAGTCTACTTTTTAGATCATCTTCTTAAGTAAAGTGCTTTAATTAAAAATACCTTTAAACCTTAGTGGTTTTTAAAAACAAGATATTGTCTTTAAAAATAGATATACAAGATATCTGTAATGGAAAAGAAAAAGTGGTGTTGCACCATCTCTACTCTTAAAAGGCTAATGTTCCACATTGTTCTAGCATTTTCACATGATATCCAACCTCTCTTTATCCCTTACATTTAAACAGGATGGTTTTGTTACTGTGCTTTTAAAACTGATATATGCAAATGAGCTCTGTTCTGACTGGCTGTCCTGTATTGTGTCTCATTCAAAAAGCAGTTTAGGCTGAAACACTTCTAGTAAATTCAGTGTGAGTGGGCAGAGCTAACCTGCTGTAGGCAGAATAGGCGTAAATGGGTTGTTGTGTTTTTTTACATTACAAAAACAATGAATTCAAAACAAAATTTTGCACGTTTTCTGCAAGAGTTTCTGATGGACTGTATGGACTAAGGATCAAGCAGTATGTTTTGAAACATCAGCTCATACTACATTATTTTATTTAAAAAAAAAACTGAAAAAAAAATTCTATGGAATAGCCCTAATATTCTTTGCCCTTTACATGTTTTTCTGTTAGCGTCATGAGCCATCAGACTCAACCCTTTTCAAACCTGATGCTCTCCTTCCTTATCATTCTTTCTTATATCATATTCGGTTTTATTGTCTGTCTTCTCTGCTTCACTACAGAAATTACAGTTGGGTAAACAGCCAGGACACACACATCCAACAGGACGAGACAGTTGTAGCATTAATTTAAAGACAGGTTTGTCAGTGTAAACTCTATAGTTTTGGATGCTGGCAGTTTTAAAAATGTCAACAGTTCACTTTGAAAGCACAGTTTTAGAAAACTACATCATTTAAAATGTAACATCATTTATTTTTATGACCAGCCAACAAGAACTAACAAGTGAAAGAAATGGAGTAACAGATAAAGAGAAGAATAACTTCTCCAGTTATCTGATCCAGTAAGCATGTTTACATGCACTTAATAATCCAATCATAATCGGATTTTGGACGTTATCTGATTATTTAAGGGGTCATGTAAACAGCATAATCTGCATATTCTTAGATCAGATTAAGGCTGTTATCAGATTTATAGACATCTGATAAAGAGAGCTGCATTTTAGCTCAGTAATCGGATTTCTAAGCGCATGTATCTTACTCTGATTTCTTTCGTTTTTCTCAGTCTGCACATGCACGAAAGCAGACCACTGCCCCAGAAGTAGCAAGCAGCATTTAGCACAGCACCCACAAGATGGCAACAAAACATATTTGGAGTGACGCTGACACCAAATACATGTCAAGCAAAATGAAGAGTTTGAATATTCTCACACTTATTCTCACAATATAACTCACACTTTATGGTAAAGTGACCCAGTGTTTAAAAAAAAGCAGAATAACGAGATGTATGTTTACCTCATGTCTTATTCTGTGAGTTTACTGGCCGGTTGCAAAAGCTAAAATCAGATTATTGTCTGACTCATGTAGACCCGGAGCTTCCTCATTATCTGAGTGCATGTAAATGCATTTGTTGTTGTATAACTGTAGCGCTTGAAGTTACAGTAATAAACTCACAAAAGGGATGGCACTCCAAAGAAGAAACCAAATCCCTAAACAAAAGTATTACATGCTGATTAGGACACAAACCAAACTAAAATATCTGAAAAACGTAAATCACTGACTGGCTTAGTTTGAAGATTTAGAAACTGTCACATGAAACCATAATTCTACATCCTTTCAGTCTGGACACTTGGATTTGGTTACAGCACTCAGTCTACAGTGTTCTCACACTCACCTTCTTCCCCTCTCCAAACACCAGAGGAAACTTCATGTCATCCTCCTGAACAGTTTTATATGCCCTGCACACAAAACAGAGAACATGAAAGAGTTTATTTTACAAAATACAGTGCTGAAAACTCCCCCTGCACAACAACCACACACACATATGGACCCACCAAACATATTTCTGTATGCATGAATGAGAGGAACATATCCTTTTGCACTGATCTTGGACTCGTTTAGCCTGTCAGAGGGTAACACTTGGCTTGGTGCTGAAGCTGGTTTTACAGCGGTGTGAAAGAAGACAGAAGTGTAAACAGAAGGTCATTTCTCAGATTGTCCTCTGGAAGCAGTTACTCTTCACCAGAGCATCTGATCTAGTATGCCAAAAAGCTACATGAATGTACAAATATCATTTTTAAGTTAAGGGAGTTGCTGAGAAATAAATGCAAATTTGGAGATCACAGCTGAAATCTGGCTGCTCCTCTGGCCACTTGAAGAACACAGTGTTTCATGCCAGCAGGGCAGCAGGGCATCTGTCTGTAGTGCACAGGACATCTGTCTATATACACACTACTGTTCCAAAATTTAAATGAAATGTTTTCAACAATAGAAAACCAGTTTGGTTTAGTCTATGAATACCAGATATCAGTACAATATCAGTTTTGTTCTTTAATCTTTGTTTATGCTCATGAATACATACAGTTTTGTTCATAATTATAAGTACAAAGTCAAAATACATTACATATGTAAATCTGAAGGGGAAATATGCAATGAATGTATATTAAATAACAAAAAGAAAAGTGTCTGAACACTGGTTTCCCCCCACTGAATCGGCCAGAGTACATCAACCTGAGTAACACAAACATTCTAATGTCAAAATATTTGAAAGTTCAGAAAAGGAACCGATGAGCCAAATACACCAGAGTGAAGAGAAAGCTGTGGGGGAAAAGTAATAAAAAAAATTCATTTAGATTTGAGTTATTATTATACGTAGATTATTCCAAAATCACAGAGTAAGCTGGAAGACACTGAGAATGAAGTTATAGTAAATGTAACATTCAGAATGTCTCATTTATGAAAAGTGATGATCATTACTTTCTGTTGATTATATGAGGTGATACTGTAACTAGATAAGTACAGTGCATAATTTATTGTATAATAACTCATAATCCTTGAAATATTAAGGAAAATATCTAAAAGTACCATTTCTGTTGTCTAGTTTATAAAATTTACATCTGCATAAGTTATTATTGTGTATAAACTAACACAATTAATGTAACAAGCAATTCCAAACTCTTGAATGGTAGTGTGTATCTTCACCTGATACAGCCTACTGGGATCTAGATACACTCTGGGATGCTCACCTCTCTCTCTCGCTCTCACTCTCTCTCTCACACACACACAAAGTGCATCCAACACTTTAACACAGTTCCACACATCACTCACAGCAGCCCCTCGTCTGTACAGTTACTCTCACTATCTCACCTTCCTGTCGAGAGAAAGACGGAATGAAAAATGAAAGAGGGCAGAATCACTGCAGTCAACACATGGCATTCTCCAGGAGTCCTCAGAGAGTTCAGTTACATTCCACATACATTATACATACGCATGGAGCACACACACAAAATAAGCTACAGAACCTACTACAATACAGGAATGATTACTGTCTCTATTCATTTGTCTTATATTGAAAATTCAAGTCAGACATATCAGATCATTTATTCTTGAAGATGATTTCTATCAGATGCCTCATGAGCTCAGCAGCTCTCCTTATTATGATCTATTATAAATATGTTAAAATTACTAACAAATGACAGTTCAAGCAAAACAAGTAGATCTTCAAAGTATTCAGGCTTACAAAACTCATTCAGAATTCATGCATTTGTTATATAACTGAGCAGTTTAGCAGAAAGGTCTGTTCTGTGCAGCTTTTGGTTTCTTTAATTACAAATAAATACACGGCACCCTAAAGGATGCTAATGACTCAGAACTCTATACTAATTTATTCTTTGAGTGTTCTAAGATTAAACTTTGTGACTTGCTAAAGTAATATTCTGTCCCACAAAGCGAACATAGGCGTGCAATTCTAAATGTTACGGCAATTATTTTTAACCTAATAAAAACCTTTTGTAGTTTATGTTATTGACTTTCTGGGTGTTTCTGAATATTGTATAGTGATTTGCTGACCTTTGGGGGAAACATCAATTATAAGCTAAAAATAAATGTGAATCTGAAATTGACAAATAGACGTAACAGACCCTGATTAATATAATAATATGTAGGTGTAAAATACTCATTATTCTGAACCATCAGACAGAGTGAACACTACAGCTGATGTTCACTTACCAGCCCTTCATGCTGTAGTCTCTGTATAAGATTCTCTTCCCCACCTCCTTCTTGCAAACTGTTCTAGGGAACTCCAAGTGGGTGAACTCATTCCCTAACAAGTGGGGCTGCATGTAAGCCTTGGAGAAAAAGAGGATGGGATAAGGACAAAGGAAGTCTTCTCATCTGCTTCACAGACAACAGATTTTTACTTGAGAGCCAGACTGAATGATATTGGGTAGAAAAAAGTGCTAATAATAGCAGAATAATAACTCAATAATTAAATAAGTTTGTAGGGTTGATATAATTGTAAACATTCTTCCTAATTGTCAAGAAAGTTAACAGTAAGGTACTGCAGGACATTGCTGCAGGAGCCAGGCCTACTGTCTGTGGGTCTTGCAGTAATTTCAGGGTTTCACTGTTTTGAGTCTTCAGGGGTTTTACGTGTTTTGGACAGCAAGTACTGGAAACATTCTGTTCAAAACTGACAGATTTAAAACTGAAAGGTGGATCTTTTTACTGCTAGACGATGGAGTGCATTCCATGGAAAATGCAAAGTTAATCTAGCGTGGAGATATTGTAGAAACAGAAAACAATAATCAACAGAAAACTATGAGCCAAGCAGTCTGAACAACAATAACAGAGATCAGGTGTTCTCTTCAGTACCACTGATGTGATTTTCTGGCTTTCAGCAGTTCCACTTGAGCTGCATCTGGCTGATTTTGCCTGTACTGAGAGTAAGCTACGGCTAACTAGTACTGCTGGACTTTCCAGTCACGTAGGCCTGGAGATATTCTCTTGTTTGGGTACTCAATCAATTCAACCCACGACCCACTTACAGCATCTGAATATTCTAGCCAGCCTGACTATTCACAAAACCAAAAGAAATGAAGGCTTACCTGCTGTTCATCTGTGATTACAGTAAAATGAAAGCTTACTTACAGCCCAGTGGAAAATCATTAGAAATTTTATAACATTCTTTATAATCATGAATACAGGCTTTCACCTATGGAGAACAACAAGCTATTTTCATTCATATAGCCATATCTTTTCACCCCTCTCATGATAAATTCTGTTCACATGATGTCACTGTACACAGCAACAACTCACTTTACTTCTAAAAAGTGTCAAAACAAAGCGATGATTTACTTTGTTAAAACTGACTTTTAAATCAGCGAATCGATAAAAATCCTTGCAGTTATTGTAACAGTGCGTTCTCTAATTTTAAGCCTTGATTTTTCGTCTCCACTTTTGGACGTACACACCAAATCAGCTGTCTGATAGTCCTGTCTAGCTACAAAATGTCTGGATAACATTAGTTAAACTCCTACAAACTGACCTTAAGGAACCACTTAAATAAAGAAGGATTTGGCAAGGAATTCTGAGCTGACTGTAAGCTTATGGTCTCACCAAACACTGAAGTCTCTGTCTCTCTGACTCTGGAGTGAAGGCACTTGACATGGGAATGATCTCTCCTCCGCGCAGAATAATGGCCCTGGCAAAGAAACAGAGTACACTGAGTAGGAAGAGATCACTACACTCTTTCTTGGCTTGGTGTAAGTGGCTGTTACATGCATAAAATAAGGTGTTCACTGCACTAGCTAAAGAGAATGTTTATATTCTGGATATGCCCTTCATACACTGAATATGAGTCGCCTTTGAACTGTGGTGTACGACACGCATCAAGTCATTGTCAGCACATGAACCAGACATGAAACATGCTGTGACAACTTGTGATTCCATATCAGCAACAATGAGTGTACATAATATCAAACAGAAGGGGTCTTACCTGCTGTCCCCTGCATTGGCCACAAAAAGCTTTCCCAACAAACAAACAGCTGCCAAAGCTGTACAGCCTCCGGAGATATCATACACATTCTTCTCTCTGCCGATGTGTTTGTCCTGCAGGTACCCGTGTTCCCAAAAGAAATATAAAACAATATTAGCAAAGAATCATTAGAAAACTAAACACTTCACAACAGATCTGCCATTAACTGTTCAATGTACAGTATGTTGAAAATTAGAGTCTACATTGCTGCATACAATTCTAACTTTTCCTGCCATCTAGTGGCTGTAAATGAGCAACTACCACTTTCATTGATTGAGGAAAAATTGGATTTTTCTAATTCATCTCATCATTCACTAACATTATATAAACAGTACTGTTCTGTACATTTTAATGCACAATTTCTAAAATCTATTTACTGAGTCTGACTTATTGGAAAAACATAAAACATAACATAAAATGTGCCATAATTGTTGCACAGGTCATCTTTTTATGTTTTATTTTCTCAATTTGTAAAGTTCAGTAAATAAAAACGTATTGTGTATTACAAAGTGCAGCAGTTTGATCTTTATAGAGGATGTGTTACTTATTTTCACTTAGAAAATCAACAAAACATTATTTGACCAGGGGCGCTCAAACTTTTGCACACGACTGTATGTACACCAGTTTAATTGTCCAAAGACTATAAAATTTGTAAAATTGTTATTAGTAAACAATGATGAGATAAATCAGCATATTGAACCCATATCCATAGATCTATACTTATTATGATTTATAATACATTACAGTTTATGAACATTATCTTGTGGTCTGGTTTTATACATCACCAGAGCTGTCACTATCAATTGTATTGGTAATTAGGTATTCTACTGGTTATTTTAATGATTACTTAAGTAATCAGATTTCTAAAAGGCCCAAGTCTACCTCTAGCCTTTTAAAGTTTTCTTACTGTAAAACAGCCCAGTAGGGGAACCTAAAACATGCACTGTAATCATGCAAACTGACAACTAGTCATTGCCGATTTATCAAGAAGGTAAATGTAAGAGATTTTAGATTGAAATCAAGTGATCAAGTTCAATTGAGTAGCCATGTCAGGTCTGCACACTGTTATCTTCATTATTAAAACTCACCATCTCTTTGAATGCATTCTCGATTGCTCCGATCACAAGGCTCTCCTGCTTCACCTTCTTCTCCATGAAGAAGCGTGGAGCCACGGTGTTTGGAGAGCCTGGAGCCCCCGCGGCCCCCCGCAACGAGGCCGCCCTGGACAGAGCTCGCTGAGACGACCCTCCAGAGGGGTGCAGATGGAGGCTGTTCTCCTCACCCAGGCAGGTGGGGGGCTGGAGGGAAGGCTTCTGCAGGATCTCCAGCACACTCTGAAGCTGCTCCTCAATGTGCAGGTGTAGAAACTTAGAGGCAAAGACTGCAGCACCCGAACCTGCATGTCCATCAAACAGAGCCCAGTAGTGGAAGTACATGACCTCCTCTTCCTGCTTTACACACACAGTAATAAATAAGTTAGCACACATACACTGAACATGTTAGATACAGTCAGCCGACAGATTATTCTACACTTTCTGTTCATTATCACACAAAAAACAGAGCTATTAAAGTGCATATGTGTGTATGACTTTCTCTGCTATTTTTAATTATTCATTATTATTATTATTATTAAGTGACCTTTATTAGTCCCACAACAGGGAAATTTCACCTCTGCAATCTAACCTATCCGTGCAGTGAAACACCACATACACACTAGTGAACACACACACTAGGGGGCAGTGAGCACACTTGCCCGGAGTGGTGGGCAGCCCTTTCCACGGTGCCTGGGGAGCAGTTGGGGGTTAGGTGCCTTGATCAAGGGCACCTCAGTCATGTACCGTGGGCTCAGGGGGTCAAATTGGGGACTTTCCAGTCACAACCCTGGTTCCCTAACCTCCAGCCCATGACTGAGATAATGGGATAATTTTATGTCATAGCTACAAACAAAATGTTTCATAGGGTTTCCAAAGTGCTACTTCGCCTCAAACCATTATCGACAAATATATGAAGTGAAGCATTATTATCATCATCTAAGCCTTTTTTCTCCTGGGCCACTGGAGTCTATCCCAGTGGTCACTGGGTGAAAGACAGGAAACACCCTGGACAGGTCGCCAGTCCATCACAGCAGAAACACAGACATACACTTTAACATTTCCAATTGGCCTGACTGCATTTCTTTGGACTGTGGGAGGAAATCGGAGCCAACAGAGGAAACCCACGCAGACACAGGGAGAACTCCACAAACTCCACATAGAAAGGAGTGTGGATGGCCAGCTGGGGAATCGAACCCAGGCCCTTCTTGCTGTGAGGAGACAACACTGCCCACTTCCATCCACAGCATTATTCTACCCTTTCAAAAATATTTTCACTTATGAGTTTATTAAAAAAGAAACATCAAATCTAAGCATCTTTTTAGTGTTTTACTTGATGCATAACGTTGTGTAATGGATAAAACAGGTGTGACAGTGGTGGAGATGAGCTGGTAATGCTCTCACAGTGTTTTCCAGACTTGTGAGCGAGTTCTCCCTGACTTCCAGAGCTTCTCTGCTGGGCAGTGAAGAGCGCCTCCTGGGGGTTGGAGTGTAGTTTGGGCTGGACGGGTCTGCAGGTCGTCTTCTCAGCTCCACCACCTCACAACAGGCCTGATCTTCATTCAGAGCACTCTTACCAGCATTAATCACCCTGAAGAACAGAGCAGGAGAAAGTATTAACACTTAGCAGGATGGCGTTCTCATTTGAAAAGGAAGGATTTGAAAAAGGAAACAATATGGTCAAAGCAGGTAGGAAATACTTTTTAAGGGGCAGTTTTTGCCCTCGTGGCCTAAAATTTAGAAGCATGTGGACACTTTGCAAAATGCACAAAATAACATAATTTAATAAGAATGCACTAGTTAAATGATATCAGCTATAGAATTTTAAAAAGTACAAATGTAATGTAAACATAAGAACATTTATCTACAGTTGAGTGCTTTCATGCTGTCAGTTTAGGACCAGAGGGTGAAACAATGCGTAACATTGTAGATGAAACCGAAGTGTCAGCTATGCTTTGTTTGTGCCATAGTGACATTTATTCACACTGATTTATTACATTTTTAAATTGATTCATTTTAAAGGGTCCATATCCTACATTTTCCTTGTATTTTACAAGTCTACTTATGCGTTTGTGTGGCTTTATGTACCAAAAACGTTCACAATTCATTTTTACACGATCACTTTATAACCTCTCTTTATCAGAAAATAAACAGGATGTTTTTGTTACTGTCCTACTAAGACCGATATATGTAAATGATTTCTGTTCTGATTGGCTTTCCTGTTTTGCGTTTCATTCAAAAAGCAGTCCAGGCTGAAACACTCCTTATAAGTAGGGGAGGAAAGTGCTGTACATTGAAAAAGCAGATCTATGAAAATGCGTAGGTTTTTGTGACATCAAAAACACAATTAATTCATAAGGAGCTGTTTTTCTCTGGCACTACATCAATGAGCCCAGAGTAAAACACTTATCTAAGATCAGACTTCACTGGTCCATGTAGCCCTATCCATTTTTAAAAGGCATAAACTGATGTCAGTTACTATGATGTTTAATAGATATGGGCCTTTGTCTGTACACTGATTAACGGGTTCAGCACACCAAAAACATCTGTAACATTTTCCTTAACTTTTTCCTTAATCAGGTATTTCAACTACACTTAATCTATGTGTACTTTGTAATACCTGTTAATATCTGTCCATGGGAAGCAAAGTCACAGTTTGTAGTACTTTTAGGTGGTGTCCCAACTACATCCTCATTGGTCAAAGAGAATGATTAAAGATGTTTAATTAGGAAATTTGAATTTTTTGTTATAGTACGCACAAAGAAAACCACCTAACTTTTTTGTGATCAGCGGACATGCTACCTTAAAGCACATGTGAAAGATAAACATTGTGGAATCTTGTTTATTTCAATAGAAAAAAGAGAAGTCTGGCCTTTTGATGTTACACTTGTTTGCGAATGAAAACATTCTGAAAATGACTTCTACTCTACTGCATCGTAGTTATAGGGGAAGTGAAAATAGGACCATTTCTGCTTATGACCCACAGCATTTTACTGCACATCCCACAGTGACCCAGTTGCTTCTGAGTGATTTGTCAATCCCAATCTCTAACGTTCAGTCAGGAGATAAAGCCCTCAAGGACAGAGAGTGGCACAAATGCTGACTTCAGTCTTCAATGTTCCATCTCAGCTTGATACAATTATTACTGACAAGGCAGGCCAGATTACATGGATGGCAGCGTCCAAACCTTCCCTGGCCTTCCTAGTTAAGACATTATAATTACTATACACTGCAATGCGTTACACATTTCTAGACCAAACAAGTATTTCTGTTAAGGCAAACACTGCAAGCTTCCTACTATGAAATTGCAGAAGCTATGCCACACATTACGTCACTGTAATGGACTGACTCAGCTGCATGACTGAGGAAGCTGCTGATATAGATAATCAGTGGTCTTTGGCAGGGAAGACACAGTTTAATGATGTGGATGGAGAAGCAGTGAGGCCTCTTCCTCTGTGTGCATGACTTTGTACAAATTATCCATCAATTTTTTTGCAAGCCTGTATCGAGTAGCCGGCGGCAGTAAGCACACTGTGTCTGAACTGCACGCTCTGTCTGAAATTCTACTCTTCAGGGCTGGGAGTCTCAAAAGCAGATGAGTCTTAAATGGTAGAGTGCACATCACACTGAACACTCCCTCTACAGGTTAAGAAACTAGGCCCAGATTAGTTAATAAAGCAATGTTATTATTTTCTTTTTTTTTAAATGAACACCACCGCAGGTGCAAAGGACATATCGGATACACAGTCGTATGCAAAAGTTAAGTCAATTTACATGTTTGATTGATTTTCTAAGTGAAAGTAACCAATTCCTGCATATTTTAATGCACAATTACTGTTTATTTGCTGAATTTAACGTATCAGGAAAAAATTAAGCATAAAATGTGGCCTGGGCAAAAAGTTTGATACAATTTAGTATTTTGATGCTTTGTTTTTTCAATATGTTAAATTCAGCACATAAACAGAAGTTCAGAAAAGATTTGAGAAAATTTAGATTTGTTCCCTGAAGAGGATGTATTAACTTATTTTCACTTGCAAAATCAACAAAAACATGTAATTGGACTATATGTGTTCAAACTTTTGTACATAACTGTAAGCCTTCGATTTTATGTGTACACTCATACTCTCACGTCAGGTCAATCAATGTATTGATCATCCACTAATAGCTCTATTACAGCAACATCAACCCAACACTGTCTGAAACTGGCTTTTATACTGTACAGCCTACTCGCTGCCTGTGAGTGGTTTGTTGGCACAGAACATTGCTTTTAGAGTAGTCAAGAATGAGGCACCCCGACACACCCTGGCAAGCTTTTTAATTGACTCCAATATTGATGCAGTCTCCAAAGTCTAAAAGTGATTTTCAGCTCGATCCAGTCAACTTCCTGACCAAGTTACTGGACTATCAATGAAATTGAATGACGAGGTCACAGTTCAAACTTGGGCTCGCTGACACAGCCTTGCTGCATGTTGACAAGGTTATAAAGTTTAGCTGTTGTTTTTATGAGTGAGGAGTAGAAGAGTATAAAGAGTTAGCTGATTGGTTGATAGTAAAGTACAGACTAGCAGTGAACACCTGGCAACATTATCAATTAGAACAGGGATGTAACAACATAGGAACCGCTGATATCCAATATTTTTCATGTCCATATCTGCCGACGCTGATAAAAATATCAATACAGTGTAGAAATCAGGACTAGATCCACCTGGATTAGCATTACAGAGAAATATAACATTTATTCCCGTAGGGTTACAAATGCAGCAAAATGAATCAAATGTGGATATTTTGGCACACTAGACCAGCTTCACTTAAATGTTCCGCTCTTCTGGACAACAATAAATACGTCATCAAAAATCAGTTTGAAATAGGGGTGGGAGATGTGGAAAAAATATTATATCACGATACACAGCATGCATTACAAAATTTCACTTTTCTGACAATTAATAAGATGAAATAGACAAAATAGAACCTGTAGTGCCTATAATAATAATAATAATAATAATAATAATAATAATAATCCTACAACTACCATGATTTTTATTTATGTTTTACTATCTAAACTGCACTAAATCCATTTAAACAGGTCTAGTTATACTCACTTTGCAATGAAACGTAGTTAGTCAGTGTTCTTTAAGTACTGATGATCTCCATGATAGACTCAGAAAAGCACATTGAGACATAATTTGTCATGACAACAATAAAATATCATCATATTGCCCAGCCCTACACTGAAACACTGGTAATACCTGGGGGCTACTTAAGAAAACAGTATCACTGTGATTCTGATATCATCATGCATCACTAAATAAGGGTTTACATGTGTACACAGCTGTGACGCTCTATTACAATAATAATGATAATTCCAGTGTCTTTAAGCAAATCAGAGCTGTGATTAATAATGAATCATGAAGGTGTAAGACATGTACATGTACCGCACACAAATGAAAATGTCTACTCTGAGCTACAAACAGACTATTTCATGTATGTGCAAACCTGCCCGTAAGGTGTGACTGTGTTTGCGGCTGTGATGAAGCCGGTATGGAAGAGCAGAGATGCAGTATGGAGGCAGGAAAGGTGGATCAGCTAGACGGCGTTTCGCAGTGCTTCATCTGATGGGTCGTTTTGTGAAGCCGGCAGATCGGCCTCTATGAACGAGCGTGTTGAGTGAATGATCCTCCGAGCTGTGTGGGTTATTGCCGGTGGGCTAATCAGCGCGTGCAGCAGCAGACACACAGTCACGCCGTCACACAGTCGGTGTGTAGCTACTCACTCGGCGTATCCGGTGGACCAGGGCAGGCGGCTGGTCTCCTTCACGATGAGGATGGGTCGCGCGATGTGGTCAGCTGAACACTCCACCTCGTCTGGACTGAGGCCGAGGAAGTCCGGCCTGCAGTAAGAGAAGCGCAGCGGCAGGTCCGCGCGGGGCTCAGCGGCGCTCGCGCCAGAGGCCATCATACCGCCGATGATGGTGGAGACAGCGGAGCGCACCCGCGTGAGCATGACGAGGAAGAGGAGCGGAGAGAGAGCCGCAGTGCAGGGACTCACACACACACACTCACACACACACACACACACACACCGGTTTACACACCGCTAACAGCCAGACGCCGCCTGAGCACCTCATTCACTTCAGTTAAGGAGAGAAGGCGGAACTGGACTCCCACTGGCCGTCATGTGACAGACCTGCTGTAGAGGGTGTGTGTGTATGCGTGTGTGTGTGTGTGTATGTGTGTGTGTGCGTGTGTGTGTGTGTGAGCTGATAGCAGTAGGTCAGTACAGAGGCTGTTAGTCACACAGAGAGAAAATAAAACAGCCCTGTTAAACAGACCATCAGCAGAAAACTATCACACTGAACTCTGTACAAGCATCATTTATGAGCTTCATAACTACAAAACAAATGAAAACTCATGCCTGTAATAGGTTATATAACATTATTATTATTATTATTATTATTATTATTATTATCATGCACATTTACCTGTTATTGCACAAAATAAATAGCCTGCAATTTACCTTTGCTTTGCCATATTTGTTTATAAATGAATGTATAAACCTATACAGCACTGTGCAAAAGTCTTGATACTGTTTTAAACCATTTGTTTCTGCAGCAAGTGTCAGTGAAAACATCATATGGACTATTTTACCTAATTAGTTCAAATGGTTAAGCATCCAGATCTTGGTTATTTACAGTATTAGGTTATGATGTATTCAAACCCAATGCATTAACTGAGATAGTAATAAGCTAAATATATACAAAAATCATAATTTTCTATTGGGAGGAGGCTGTTCCAAACTCTAACCCCTAAATGTCAACTTCTTTTTGATTTATTTTATAGTGAAGTTAAAAGATTTAGACTTATCCTGAGTTTAAATTTTAAATTAAAACATTATTTTAAAAGTGCTGTTCCTCTTTTTCAAGACACTGCCGAGTTTTAGTCCATAGACTCTTTTGTGTTTTGATGAAATTAATAATATTTATTATTCAAAGCTGTGTTAGCACTTTTGAGTTCTGCTTAAAGGTATACTCAGTGATACTCATACTGTTTACCACCAACAAAGGTAGTCAGGTAGGGGCCCTTCAGTCATTGGTGCCCAGGGGCCTGCAAGTCAATGATCCCGGCCTGGTTGTGATTTGTAACAGCTGTAGGGGCAGACTGACATGAAACATGGTTGCTGCTAATTTGCTCCCCCTTCGATCTAGACAAATTTGGCAGTGTTTTAATAGGTAATAATGGTAATCCTTTGACTTTAATGTACATTAAGTGTTGTTTTCTTGGACAGGGATTAAACCAATTCCTGCACTTTATTTTTCTTTCAACAGAGAATCTCTATTTGGAAGGCTGTGTAGCCCAGAACTCTGCTTAAACGCTGTCCAGAATAATTAGTCTTAGTGTTTTGGGGTTGTAATCTACATATATAAACATAAAAGAGGAAATTATTTAGTATGTTGGACTTTATTAGCTTTTATTGGCAGAGTCCTGGTTCTCAACCTGTTTCTTAAGGGTCTAGCTGAAGTGGAAACTGTGAGTGAATTTGCCAGAGAACCAAGAGCAGCAGATCTGTCATGACCTCTTGTGACTAATCCTCAAGATGTGGTACTGTGTGCTTTGGCATTGACTTGAAATGTGAGGATATAGTTTTAAGTTGTAGTGAGTGAGTAATTAATGCTATTTGAGTAAACTGTAAATGTATTTGGATTTAGTCAAAAGAGCAGGTTAACTGTATCTAAAATAGACAGACAGATACACAAGCACTCTGCTGGCTCCGCAGTATAGGAGGTTCATTTGTCATGAAGTAAAATATGTTTTAAGGAGAGTACTTTGCCACTAGACGACACTTAGAATGTCAATCTTTGGCCAAATGATATACCATTTTGCCAATTTGATCCAGCTGCGTCTGGAACTAAACATGCAGAGATAAAAGTGCAGAACTGTATAAATATTTTTGTTCATAAATCTGTTTTATGACAGAGTAATCTTGTTGAGAAGTAGGCGTAAAATATAGATTTAGGCAGAAATGTTCCATAGCACTGCACTGCTAGAAAGGAGAAAACAGATTAAAGGACTGTTTGTTCATAAAAATAAATTTAGGTTGTTTTTTTTTAGGTCAGAAGATGTTTGGGAATGAAACTTATTCACATAAACATAAACCGTAATGAAGGTTCACCACTTTTGTAAAGTGGTCTATGCCCAGTTGGCACAACTGTCATCTATCTGTTTCGACCTACACTTTATATCCACAGGAAGACCTTTGAGGTGGTGGGATCCAAATGCGCTGACAGGAGTAAATATGTTTAATAGCACTCATGTAACTTAATAACACACTTCTCACGTCAGCCTATAGCTCTACCCCCCCCAAGAGGTTCGTGCACATTCCTCTCCTGTGTTTCAGTCATCAGCAGTCCAGCTGAGGTTATAGCAGGGAATGCTTTGGAAAACAAACTCCGTAGTGCTGATGGGTAAATTTATGGGCTTAACAATGCGCAGACTCCACATGCATCTGCTGCCTCTCACTGCTAAGCTTGAGGATGTTCTACAAGCAGTGCTTTGGATTTACCACTGGCGGTTTGTTATTTTTATTGCTGTTTGCCACAGTCGTGCTGTCCAGTGTGGAAAGGTCTGTGTTTTTACTGTAATAAATTCAGAGACTTTGAGACAGCTTGTACTTACTGTTGGATTGCTGTTGATGTTGGGAGGGCATAGAGTGTCTCTTAAACACCTTCACTGACAATTTCCATTAAAAGACATATTTATGAAACTGTCATATGTAAGAAATATTTATTAAAATATCTTTGAAATATTACTGTTAAATAACATACCATGCCATTTTTTTTACATCGTTACTGGTCTACAACGTACCTTTGCTTTCCCATCGGCTGTTGTAGAATTTGTAGAATTTACAGCACTTTGATAGTAAATTCTACAGTCTGCACTTTATCTTAATAGTAATTGATTATGGTCAGCATGCTTGTTGGATGGATCTGATGATTGTAGGTAAATGTGGGCACTATAATATCTCCTTTACTGATTTATAGCTATTTGGAAGAACAGATCTGATGAAATTGTGTAGGACACATAGGACTTCATTGGTGTAAAACAAACAAACAAACAAACAAAATAAAATAAGTGTGTTACGAGGATGTGTGTGCTAACTGTTTCTATTACAGTTTTAGGTCCTGAGATGGGCATTAACTATTTACATTTGCTAGATTTTAACTTTATTTTCAAATGATACTATTTTTAATTCTACTCACCGTTAATTCTGTTTGCATTTCAATCATTAATAATTAGTTAATAATTTTCTTTTGAGAGCTATTTTGATGCTATTTTGAAAGTATTTTCATGTCAGGAAACCACTGATTTTGTCCTGAAATTCCATATTGCTCCAGTTTTCCCGCCTCAGTAACCATATTTATTTTTTTACAACACTGAAGTAGAACCTCATGACTCTGAACTAGTGACTAGTTCAGAGTCATGTTTAGTTTAACCCTTGTGTGGTGTTGATGCTTTTGTTACTCAGTGGTCTGGTGGACACACTGCATTACTGTTTTTTTTAAATCATAACCTTAAGAATTTATGTAAAAATACCAGATGTTTAAAATATCACAAGTGGTTAGTGTAGGGTTCTCCTTTAGCAGATGTAGCCAGTCAGCAGCTTGTCCATGTTGTCCATCCTCACAGACATGCACACATATACAAACACATACACACACAGACACACACACAAGCCATGTAGGAGGAGAACAGAGTGAAGGGACACAGCACCTCCACGCTTTTATTCCCCACAGGTTCACCCCAACACCACACGTGTAATATAAATGTGTAGCAGGTGAACAGTGTGAAGGCGCTGAAAATGTGTTATTTTATAACAACACATTTTCCTCACAGAAAATGAGCAAAGGCCAAGGAATCTGGGGTTGAAATAATATTTTTCTTTTGGTAAACATTGAAAATGTGTCCCACAGACCCCAACATCACACGAGGGTTAATGTACGTTAATGTAAAGAGATTATTCCAAGTGATTTTCTAGCATTTCTATTGGTCCATTCATCATGAAATTTTCACACAATGTAAAACACAGATGCCTTATTCAAATGATGTAGAAAAATAAAAATTGACAAAAATGTTTTTCTTTGGACAGTGACGATATTTATGCTTATACACGGCTTTGAATGTTGTGGACTCAAATGACACTCCTTTCATGTATGGGTTTGGGTTTAGGCTGCTCTACTCACCTCTGCTTAGATCCATGTTTGTACTTTATTTACATTGTCTAGGTAACTGTGAGGCCTCTCTTGTCTGTCCGGTTCCTCTCCACCACAGTAGACACTTCATTCTACATCCAAAAGGGGGCAGTGTGTGTCCTGAACTCCATGAAAAGAAGTGAGCAAAGACAGCGTTTGTGCACATCCCCCACACCTACCAAACAAATTTATGCCCATGACTGCACAATTTAGAGTGTGTATTCTTCTCCAAAGTACACAGTGGAAACTCAAATGGGCACAGGGGCTGTTTGCCTAGAAAAAAAAAAGTATATATCATTTGTTGTCCATGGAAAGTCACACTGCATACGAGAAGACTTTGACGCATCATGCCCTGTAGTCACTCTTCACATGCCACAGACAGGAAATATTAAAAATAACCCCTCTTATTATCACGGCATGTCCCCATGTTTTGGGTGACGTCATTGCCAGGGGCATTGGCCTGTTGGGGGTCACAAAGTAAAGTTTAATTCATCTCAGATTTAGAGAGAAAGACCTTGATTCACCCCTGTTTATACAGAATACAGACAATCATCAAACTGCGTGAAAGATGCCCTTTTACAGTATTCCAGATCCAACCATTTCAATTTGCATCCTAATTCATGCCTTTATCTCAGAAACCACAAACCACAGGAAATGGGCTTTTTTCCCTCCATACCTCAGTCATCAGTTACCAGCAAGTGACCCTTAGTGAAGGAGCAGAGCGTCAAGGGGCTCTCAAAGACTGGTATTAAAACATAAAATTGGAAATGTCATATTGTGTCTTGTTTTGTGCTTGAGCTTGGGATCAGTTCTCTGTGGTGTTTAACTCATGAGCAGAATGCATGCATGTTCTGTAGGAACTGTGTGTGAGATCAAACTCAGAAGTTGCAAACATTC